ACCTGTGATGTGGTCCTCTGTAGCTCAGCTGGTAGAGCACGGCGCTTGTAACGCCAAGGTAGTGGGTTCGATCCCCGGGACCACCCATACACAAAAAAAAATGTATGCACGCATGACTGTAAGTCGCTTTGGATAAAAGCGTCTGCTAAATGGCTTATTATTATTATTATTATTATTATTATTATTATTATTATATTATGAGACATTGTCCTACAGATAACACTTTTTCTTATTCTTAGAATCACTGGTGTTCAACAAACAGGTTACTATCTACACAAAGTGTTCAACTACTGTAGGTTTCCTTGATAATTGTTTCCAACATATGATTGGCAGAACCATCATTTGAAAGCAAGAACATTTCTGTATTGTTATTTTTGCAGAACATCTTCTTGAACATGTGACTAGTGGTAAAAGTGGCACTGTAATTTTGACTGAACACTTAAAGCAAGTCTGCCCTCTTCCTCATCAGTAAAGTTAGAAATATTAGTGGTATCATTGGGGACGATATTCGTTCTCGGTATCTATCAGCTATGGAGACAGGTCACCAGCCAGAACTTCCTGTGAAAAAGGAGAACAAATGCAAAAAGGGGGGGGGGGGGGGGGAGAGAAATCAGGGCATCTTTCAGCCATTTTGGTGCCCCTCCAGCCGGGGTGACAGGGCTATGGCCCATGACGTGAATGGGCGAAAGCGGTGAGGGAGGAGCACCCTGCTCAAATCTAACAGTAATCTGCGCAGCCAGGTCATATTGTCAACAAGACAGCATGGTTCATCGTTCAGAAACATACATCACGTATTTTCTATAAAGTATATGTTAGAATTTGACTAGTTTTACTTAGGAAGGCAGATAAAGTACATATTCATTTTATACCAAGAGCAAACAACACTTTGACAAAGCCTATTCCCCCTCAGTAGACTGAAAAGATTTGGCATGGGTCCTCAGATCCTCCAAAAGTTATACTGCTGCACCATCGAGAGCATCCTGACTGGTTGCATCACCGCCCGGTATGGCAACTGCTCGGCCTCCGACCGCAAGGCACTACAGAGGGTAGTGCGTACAGCCCAGTACATCACTGGGGCCAAGCTTCCTGCCATCCAGGACCTCTATACCAGGCGGTGTCAGAGGAAGGCCCTCAAAATTGTCAAAGACTCCAGCCACCCTAGTCATAGACTGTTCTCTCTGCTACCGCACGACAAGCGGTACCGGAGTGCCAAGTCTAGGTCCAAAATACTTCTCAACAGCTTCTACCCCCAAGCCATAAGACTCCTGAACAACTAATCATGGCTACCCAGACTAATCATGGCTACCCAGACCCCCCCATCCTTTTACGCTGCTGCTACTCTGTTAATTATTTATGCATAGTCACTTTAACTCTACCCACATGTACATATTACTTCAACTACCTCAACTAGCCGGTGTCCCCGCACATTGACTCTGCACCGGTACTCCCCTGTATACAGTGGGGAGAACAAGTATTTGATACACTGCCGATTTTGCAGGTTTTCCTACTTACAAAGCATGTAGAGGTCTGTAATTTTTGTCAATCCAGAAAATCACATTGTATGATTTTTAAGTAATTAATTTGCATTTTATTGCATGACATAAGTATTTGATACATCAGAAAAGCAGAACTTAATATTTGGTACAGAAACCTTTGTTTGCAATTACAGAGATCATATGTTTCCTGTAGGTCTTGACCAGGTTTGCACACACTGCAGCAGGAATTTTGGCCCACTCCTCCATACAGACCTTCTCCAGATCCTTCAGGTTTCGGGGCTGTCGCTGGGCAATACGGACTTTCAGCTCCCTCCAAAGATTTTCTATTGGGTTCAGGTCTGGAGACTGGCTAGGCCACTCCAGGACCTTGAGATGCTTCTTACGGAGCCACTCCTTAGTTGCCCTGGCTGTGTGTTTCGGGTCGTTGTCATGCTGGAAGACCCAGCCACGACCCATCTTCAATGCTCTTACTGAGGGAAGGAGGTTGTTGGCCAAGATCTCGCGATACATGGCCCCATCCGTCCTCCCCTCAATACGGTGCAGTCGTCCCTGTCCCCTTTGCAGAAAAGCATCCCCAAAGAATGATGTTTCCACCTCCATGCTTCACGGTTGGGATGGTGTTCTTGGGGTTGTACTCATCCTTCTTCTTCCTCCAAACACGGCGAGTGGAGTTTAGACCAAAAAGCTCTATTTTTGTCTCATCAGACCACATGACCTTCTCCCATTCCTCCTCTGGATCATCCAGATGGTCATTGGCAAACTTCAGACGGGCCTGGACATGCGCTGGCTTGAGCAGGGGGACCTTGCGTACGCTGCAGGATTTTAATCCATGACGGCGTAGTGTGTTACTAATGGTTTTCTTTGAGACTGTGGTCCCAGCTCTCTTCAGGTCATTGACCAGGTCCTGCCGTGTAGTTCTGGGCTGATCCCTCACCTTCCTCATGATCATTGATGCCACACGAGGTGAGATCTTGCATGGAGCCCCAGACCGAGGGTGATTGACCGTCATCTTGAACTTCTTCCATTTTCTAATAATTGCGCCAACAGTTGTTGCCTTCTCACCAAGCTGCTTGCCTATTGTCCTGTAGCCCATCCCAGCCTTGTGCAGGTCTACAATTTTATCCCTGATGTCCTTACACAGTTCTCTGGTCTTGGCCATTGTGGAGAGGTTGTAGTCTGTTTGATTGAGTGTGTGGACAGGTGTCTTTTATACAGGTAAAGAGTTCAAACAGGTGCAGTTAATACAGGTAATGAGTGGAGAACAGGAGGGCTTCTTAAAGAAAAACTAACAGGTCTATGAGAGCCGGAATTCTTACTGGTTGGTATGTGATCAAATACTTATGTCATGCAATAAAATGCAAATTAATTACTTAAAAATCATACAATGTGATTTTCTGGATTTTTGTTTTAGATTCCGTCTCTCACAGTTGAAGTGTACCTATGATAAAAATTCCAGACCTCTACATGCTTTGTAAGTAGGAAAACCTGCAAAATCGGCAGTGTATCAAATACTTGTTTTCCCCACTGTATATAGCCTCCCTACTGTTATTTTATTTTACTTGTGCTCTTTTTTTCTCAACACTTTTTTGTTGTTTTATTTTGCACTGTTGGTTAAGGGCTGTAAGTAAGCATTTCACTGTAATGTCTGCACCTGTTGAATTCGGCGCGTGTGGCCAATCAAATTTGATTTGATTTGAAAACACACCACATTGATACAGCTATACCCGAACTTGACTGTTGCAAGCAAGCTAAGGCAACCTCTAATGCCTCAAGTGACTGAAACCCCGCCCACAGTTTTTGATTGCATGATCGTTTTCGACTTGTGTTGATTGTCAAACGAGGAAACGAAATAGCAAAATTAAGCATTGTGACTGATTTATCTAATTTGATTGATCATTTGAATTTTGACAATCTTAAACCACACAGAGTATAGAAAAGCATTGCCAATTGAGAATTCATTTTATTTTTGGGTCGTCACAATTCATGCTATCACAACAAGGAAATGAAATGGCAAACATGATAAATTATTTGTCATTTTGATTTTTAAATGTGTCAGTGTTGTACTGTATAGTACCATGGAAATGAAATATCAACACACTTCTGTATTTATTTTTCAAATTGGCAGACAAGCATACTAAATCATGAAAATTATAATGCAATATATTTTTTTTTGCATTTCAATTTGAATTTTGTCACATAAAAATGCATACCCATTTAGGAAAAGGAAATTCAAACATGATATTGATTTATCATTTGCTCATTTGCATCTGCAATTGAGTTTCGGCAGCTAAATGCTTCCATATAGTAAATGTTCCTGGATGGCTCTGGGGGAATAAGTAGGTAGACAACCCCACCTAGTGTTTTTAGAAAGTACAGTTTGCCGCTAAAAAATGACACAAGGGGGCGCTATGATCCTCTGCTCTAAAAGTGAGTACCCAACTTGGGAAACTGTAGCTACATACAATATGATGCTACATTCTGTCAACTTTCCGTCTGTATAACTTTATGTCGATTTGGCCAATAAAACCACAACACTGGTTAAAAGCTGTTTTTATCCTATTGCTACAATTCAAAACACAGACCGACTGTTATATAGTTGCATAATAAACGTATTTTAATTAACTTTATCCACTATCTTTGTGGCCAACCCGGGTGATTTTGAGGTTCCCTACTCAGAAATTGTCATTGAAACAGTTGATTAAAAGCTGACTGAATGCTGTAAATAACCAGTGAATCTACAGTATGCTATGCATGATGTGTTGTGTTGTCCCATGTGCGTTGCATGTGAACAGCAGAAGACTTGTTTTTCAGTTATGTTTCCCTTCCCTTGCTGAGTGCGCCCCCCTTTTTGGCATAATATGCTGCCAGATGCACTTTTTAGGGTGCACTGTTCTACTCTATTACGGTACAAGTACAGTTCATTGTTACATTGTAGCATGCAGTAGCTACATTGTTAAAGGGGGAACAAAACATTTTCAAGCATGTAAAAACAAACGGGCTATATATATTTGCTGAAAACTCTGGCAGTATTTGGAGCATTTATAGTCTTCCTATATAAGATTACTTTTTGATATTAATGTATCATTTAAGCCTAGGCCTGTAGGCTAAACCAGGGAAGTAACATTAACATTGGCATCCCTTTTTCAAGTGAGCCTTGGACAAGAAAATAAGAATAAACATACTCACTTAGATGCTCTGTTAATTGCAGCTCATTTTCATAGGAATGTTAATAAACAGAAAATAAATAACAGCGTTTTGTTTAACTTTATTGAATGGTCATACATGTAGCCTACTAGCCTGGTCCCAAATATATTGTGTCCTTGCCTACTCCATTGCTGTCCTTGATAAGACAAACATGTTTGGCATGAAAATGAGTCACAATGAGCTGGCATGATCGCACAAACAGACTGGCCCTCAGGCTATAAATGAAGACAACTCTTGAAATCTGATCATCTAAAGGTGTAGTCAGTGCTGCTCGCACGAAACACCGTGTTGTCCGGAATTATGAATATTTCACACCATTTGATGCGCTCAGCGTAGTGACATTACGGTAATGATATACGTTTGATGTTCCTCAGCCGATATGACATCCATTCCCTCGCAGCGCAGTTGTCAGACCAGCCCTCATCACGTACCACTTCTGTCGCTTAGAAACGGGGCATGGTGCGGCAACCAAGATGACTTCCAACGAAGAGGTTATAATGGCAACATCACCCCGCGAGCTTACTCAGAACCCGCTGAAGAAAATATGGATGCCATGTAAAAACGGGCTGCCTGAAAAGCACATTTCGCAAAGAAGGGGTAAGTTGCCTTGGCTGGCTCGTGCCAACAGCGCACAATGGGTGCAACGTAGGCGTATGCCAGATACAGATTATTTTAAGTACATTTTTATATTTTGTAGGCCTACCTCATGGAACTTAGATATTCACATTTTTATGTACACACTGCGGCGTTGCGCAACCTGACAAGGTTCTGTGCGCTCAACATTTTCTCCAGGGGTGCAACGTTGCATCATTTCGATTTCGTCTCAAATTATTAGACTTTAAGGTGTGTTTTTCTTGATGTTACAATTTTAAAACGTTGTTTATTAAGCCAATGATGCAATTACGCATGGCCTGCTACGGTATCGAACTGGTAAGGAATCTCTGTATTGAAGATGACAACCCCATTGACAATGCGTCCGTTTTCCGTGGTGATGATGGTAGTGCCCTGTGTGGTAGGTAGGCAGCAGATGATTACTCTGCAGACTTGGTTTGCCTCTCTTCCTGTGGAACTCTGTCTACTTTTCGCTTAGTTAACCAAGTGTTCAGTCAGCCGTGCTTGGGATCTGTAGACTTTTAGGGTTGATTTGTTCCCTGTTCTTATTATACCTCAGTGGTCCTCACCCTAAAAAAACTACACTGTCTCCCTCTGAACTATTCCAGATGCTCCCTTGTGCTGAGCTCGACTCTCTTCCTCTTTCAGGTGCAGACATTGCAGATTTCAGAGGTGGTTTTCTCCCCCTTTGGCTCGTACATTTGGCACAGTAATGAGAAAGTAGAAAGGAGAACAAAGAACCATGCCAGGCTTTGTGTGATTTCACTAATCCAGCCCCCCAATCCTAGCCAATAGGGCCACTGGAGGGGATTACAATGGTTAAGGAGGAGGGTTAGCCAGTTAGCAGCCGGAGTTTGTAGGACAGTAGACTACTTCTCCCTCCGTTTTGAAGGGGGCCACAGGATTACTTTACCAAACTAGGTCAGTAGTGGAGCAGTTGGTCAGTGTTTTTTATGCTGTGTCACTTTGAACTTTGGTTGACTGTTTCACTTATGCCTAACCAGTTGAACACTGAAACTTGGTTATTCTGAGATCACCAGATAGTATGCCTATGTGCAGTCTGGATCACGTCGAGCAGCAGCAGGTCTTCTTGCTATTTACCCTAGTTTAAAGGTGCAATATGCAGAAATCGCTCTGCAATTTTGTGGTTGCTAAAATTCTAATAGTTCACCTAATTTCAATTTATGTGACAAAACAAGCAAGAGAATCATTGTACCATCTAAACCACTGTGAAATATATTTTCAATAACCAAAAATATTGTATTTTCAGCTTTTTGAAGCTGGTATAAAAAAACTGAAAGTAGAAGACACAAAAACTAAACTTAAGAATGGGAAATGGCACACATAGAACAGATCTACTGCTTCTTAGACTTGCTTTCAATGAGAATGACAGCTCTATAAGTCACATTTCTATGTGAATTTGGTCAGGTTGCCCATAAAGTTACATATTACAGCTTTAATTAGATCTGGAAACGTGTGTGTGTGTGTGTGTGTGTGTGTGTGTGTGTGTGTCACAGCTTCACCAGCTCTTCCAAAGACATTGTCTGCTTGACTTGCTCTTAGATATGGGAGCGATTTTCCTAGATTCCCTCTGTCAACAACACAAAAGGCTTATTCATGCCTACTGCTCCTCTTTCTGCTCTACTTTCTCCTCTTTCCTCATTTGGCCAATTCGTCCTTCTTTCCACCTGCTTCTCCAGACTCTGGTATCTACCAGGTCATGGCTGTTATGGAGTGGCTGATCTCAAGTCAGTCCTTAAGTGTTTGCCAATGTTCATGACACAGCATCTCTAATGATTTTTGGGGATTTTCACAATGTAATCCATAGAAGGGTCCTTTTTTTACGGTGGGGGGGTCCTTTGGATTGTTGGCATGTGACATTTGTATCTTAAAGGGATACTTCGAGATTTTGGCAATGAGGCCCTTTATATACTTCCCCAGAGTCAGATGAACTCGGGGATACCATTTTTATGTCAGTGTCCAGTGTGAAAGAAGTTAAAGGTAGTTTCGCGAGCCAATGCTAACTAGTGTTACCCATAAACTTCCAGTCATTGCGCTATCTGCTAAATGCCCAAATCCCAACATATCCCTTTAAAGCATAATTGAGAAATTATTAATATAAGTTGGATATTGAAACTGAACATGAAATATATAAATAATATATCTTTAGATTTGGCAAATTGTTCAATATATTGTTGAACATAATATACTCTATGGGCATATCAAAGTTCCAGAGTGGGATCTCTGCTAGTTTTAAAGAGCCACAGAACATGCCGATTGGCACGTGTTTTTCTGTTAGAAAAATTAGATTTTATTCTTGGAGTTGTGTTTCCTGACTGATTCCGCGTTTGTTTAATGATATTTATCCCCCATGAGACACTGTAGATGTGGAAGCTTATTTTACTTCCTCAAAATCCCCAGAATGAATCTAAGATAACTCAAGAAATCTGTAATATATTTTGACGTTTTTGCTGAGGATGTTTTAGTTGTGCAATTTTACATCTAACTAAGGTGTTTGGTCCAGTATTTCTCAAGTTAAAAAAATGCTCAACGTGTTGTCTTATGTAAACAAAATTATCCTATTTACACTTGTAGTCAATTTTGACTCATATTGATTCCATAGACTGTTTTCAAAGGGATTTGTTGCTTTTTAAAGGCAGTCTCTTTTTAAAGTTATGGACCACTTTATACAGAGAAATTGGCATAGTAGGCAATGTAACCAGTTGTTCTCATTTTAACTTGCATCATTGCATATCCTGCAAATCACCAGCAGAGGGCGACCATTTTGAATCCATTTTCACATTCACTCTGTTGGTAACGCTTACAAATTGGATCGTAACTCTAAAAGTAGCAGAGATCCCACTTTGAAATGCTGTAGAGTATATTATGTTCAATATATTACAAAATGTGCTAAATCAATCTAATCTTCATATTTTCAATATTCATACATTTATGTAAGAAAATGCTACTCATATTACAGAGCAAGCGGTAAAGCTTCATTTGACACCAACTTGAGCTTCTTAGCACCTACAGATGAAACATCATCGAATTTTAAGAGGCCAAAATGTCACAAATGTTCCAAATTCAATTAATTATTTCTCAATTATGCTTTAAGATACAAATGTCAAATATATGTCAACAATATTTCCTCCAAAGGACCCTTCTATGGATAAATCATGCTATTTTTTTGTTGTTTTGTTTCATTAACGAATCACCCAAGTGTATACACATCTGTTTGCATCTGCTTCACTTTTACTCAAATGATCCACCAAAACTGCTCCATCCAGTCTACGCCTTAATTAAGGCCTGAGTTGTTGATTTTAGATTCTGCATTAATGGGCAAGGTCCCATTTGATTCAATGACAGACTGTACCATCCACTGACATTCACTGTGTCTGTGTACAATAGGGACAGTCATTAAACTTTCTGTCTCTCTCGTCCTATTTTTTCCCCCCCTATTTTTCTGTTTCTCCTCTCTGTCTCTCTTAGTATGTATGACCAACTGTCCCACACTTATTGTGACGGTTGGCCTCCCAGCCAGAGGTAAGACCTACATCTCCAAGAAGCTGACCCGCTATCTCAACTGGATTGGTGTGCCAACCAAAGGTACCAGCTCAAGCTCTCTCATTATCTAACAGTCTCTTTTGAGGTCTATCTCACTCACTCACTCACTCACTCACTCACTCACACACACAGGAAATAGGGTTGACTGACAGTATGTCTGTGTTGTTTAGAGTTCAACGTGGGTCAGTACAGGAGAGAGTGTGTGAAGATCTACAAGTCCTTTGAGTTTTTCTGTCCAGACAATGAAGAGGGGCTGAAGATCAGGAGGTGAGGCTGGAGACGGGCTGTTGGAATAAGCTGAACAGGTCAAGTTAGGCCTAACCCACCACTCTATTCACTAATCTCTCATTACAGACCAAAGTTACAGGGAATGCACTCTTTATTGGGCTTTTTAATAGGCAGAGACCGTTGAAAGAACAAAGTTGTATTTACATTAATATCTACGGAGTGCATTTTGACCAGTTGCTTTATATTAGCAAAGTTTGAATTCAGTTCATTCTCATAGGTCTTTACCTACAGTGTCACTTTAAGGTGTTTCTGGTCGTCTTTCTGATTCTGTTGTGTGTGTCCACCAATAGGCAGTGTGCACTGACAGCGCTGAATGATGTGCGGCAGTACCTGAGTGTGGAGGGGGGCCAGGTGGCGGTGAGTAGAGCAGAGCAGACCTAGTATGGCTACCAGTCTGTTTAGCTATCATGCCACTCCTTGTCATGATAAACATATGACACGGAGTACTTGGGGTGGAATGTTAGATAAACAGACTGGACCCAGGTTAGATCCACAGTGACTTAAGTGTGGCTCATGATCAGTTTGTGAATGAGGATGTTGATGAATAGGGGGGAAAGGGTGCACAATAAATGTAATTCATGTAGGCTACTTTGCAAGAAATAACCTTGTGCACCCTTTTCCCACTATTGATCTTCAGTCTACAGTACTTGTTTGGGTATGCACCGCAATTCATATACATGTTTATGTTTTGCTTGGTGCTCCCAGGACTCCTAACCTGAGTGTAATGAGGATGTTGTGACTGACTGGAGTTTGCCCTTCATTGCCTCAGGTGTTTGATGCCACTAACACCACCAGGCAGAGGAGAGGGACCATCACCAGGTTTGCAGAGCAGAACGGCTTTAAGGTATGGAACCCCAGGGTCTGGCATTAGTATCTGAAGTTATTGTTGATTCATGGGATTCACTACTTTTCTTACAGGGTACAGTATATTTTACAGTATTTTATACTGAATCTTCATTTTCAACCTCCCAGGTGTTCTTTGTGGAGTCTGTGTGTGAAGACCCTGATGTCATTGCGGAGAACATAGTGGTGAGTGATATCTCTGCTATCTTTCAGCATTTTACGTAGGCCACTGGTTATGTAAAAGATCAGACATGATTAAGCATGATTGCGCATGAAATTCAAGACTTCTGCTTTAATATTTGATATTCCTGTAAGATAGGCCTCTTGATGAATAATTTCTACCATCTTTGTGTTGATATGCCCTGGCAGACTTTCAGCAAAGAAGCGAGATAGATGTTTTTCGGTTCTGAAAGCATGCTTTTAGCATGCTCTTTCTCTTTTTCTCTCGACTCATTTCCTATTCCTGTTTGTATTTCCTGTCTGTCCGTGCAGCAAGTGAAGCTGGGTAGTCCTGACTACATAGACTGTAATACAGAAGAGGTCATCGAGGACTTCATGAAGAGGATCAAGTGCTATGAGAACTCCTACCAGCCACTGGATGAGGTTCTAGACAGGTGAACACACACACTAGTGGTTTCAAAATATGCTCTGACAATATACTGGACAGGTGAGAATACACACACACACAGAATACACATGGACAAGGTCAGCAGTCATTTAACTGCCTCACACTGCTAATAGATCTGATAGTCACTCATACTCCATCCCCCATCCCCCCCCCCCCCCCCCCCAGGGATCTTTCCTACATCAAGATAATGGACGTGGGCCGGAGGTACCTGGTGAACCAGGTCCAGGACCACATCCAGAGCCGCATCGTCTACTACCTGATGAACATCCACATCACACCACGCTCCATCTACCTGTGTCGCCATGGAGAGAGTGACCACAACGTCAAGGGACGCATCGGAGGAGACTCTGGCCTGTCTGGCAGGGGCAAGGAGGTGTGTTTCTTTGTGTGTGTCTGTCCATCTATTGGTAATAGAAATATAAACTGTATGTAACGTCATTATTTCTCTCCCTGCCTGTTGGTCAGTTTGCAAAGTGTCTGGAGAAGTTCATCCAGGAGCAGAACATTAAGGATCTGAAGGTGTGGACCAGCCAGATGAAGAGGACCATCCAGACAGCTGAGACTGTGGCTGTGCCCTACGAGCAGTGGAAGGCTCTCAATGAGATAGACGCTGTATGTGTGCGTTTGTGTATGTGTGTGCAAACGTGTGTTTGTATTTTGGCTATTGTTATTATATTTTGTTTGTATTTATTCTTTAATAGATCTATCTATAACTCTATCTACGATTATGCTCTGCATCAGTCAATGTGATTGACGGTTACCATGTCTCCTAAGCTTGCTGTTAAACAGGCTTGTTGTTTTGGTTTCTCTCCCTCTTCCAGGGTGTGTGTGAGGAGATGATGTATGAGGAGATCCAGGGACATTTCCCTCAGGAGTTTGCTCTGAGAGACCAGGACAAATACCGCTACCGCTATCCTAAAGGCGAGGTGAGTCCATCACAGAACGAACACTCTTTCTCTCTCTCTCTCTCTCGCTCTGTGTGTGTTAACAGGCCTCTGCTTGTCCCCTCAGTCCTATGAGGACCTGGTGCAGCGTCTGGAGCCAGTCATCATGGAGCTGGAAAGGCAGGAGAACGTCCTGGTCATCTGTCACCAGGCTGTCATGCGCTGCCTGCTCGCTTACTTCCTGGATAAGAGCGCAGGTAGCGTATATCTCTTCAAATCAAATGTATTTATAAAGCCCTTTTTACATCGGCAGATGTCACAAAGTGCTTATACAGAAACCCAGCCTAAAACCCCAAACAGCAAGCAATGCAGATGTAGAAGCACGGTGGCTAAGGAAAAACTCCCTAGAACGGCAGGAACCTAGGAAGAAACCTAGAGAGGAACCAGGATCTGAGGGGTGGCCAGTCCTCTTCTGGCTGTGCCTGGTGGAGATTATGAGTACATGGCCATTAAGGCCAGATTGTTCTTCAAGATGTTCAAACATTCATAGTTGACCAGCAGGGTCGAATAATAATCAGTTGTAGAGGGTGCAACAGGTCAGTACCTCAGGAGTAAATGTCAGTTGGCTTTTCATAGCCGAGCATTCAGAGGTCGAGGTCGAGGTCGAGAGACACACACACACACACACACACACACACAGAGAGTGAGAGAGAGACACACACACAGAGAGTGAGAGAGAGACACACACAAACAGAGAGTGAGAGCGAGACACACACACACACAGAGAGTGAGAGAGAGACATACACACACACAGAGAGTGAGAGAGAGACATACACACACACACACACACACACACACACACACACACACACACAGAGAGTGAGAGCGAGAGAGACACACACACAGAGAGTGAGAGAGCGACACACACACACACAGAGAGAGACACGCGCAGAGAGACACACAGAGTAGCACGTCTGGTGAACAGGTCAAGGTTCCATAGCCGCAGAACAGTTGAAACTGCAGCAGCATGAACAGGTGGAATGGGGACAGCCAGGAGTCATCATGCCAGGTAATACACCCCAGTATTACAGCTTAATTTATACTATAAAACAAACTGAGCATATAGGAGAGGGTGTTCACCTGTCATGATCAGATGAGCATTAGCTCTAATACAACTAAATTGAATCCATTTAGGCATCATCTACGTTGTTCTGTTTTTGTTCTTCAGAGGAGCTGCCTTACCTGATGTGCCCTTTGCACACTGTACTGAAGCTGACACCTGTGGCTTATGGTGAGTACACTATTATCAATAACTGCATTAAAAGTGTATTAGTAACACAGGATAAAGGTTTCAATTACATGCTTTATTCTATGCATACAGTGAGGGGGAAAAAGTATTTGATCCCCTGCTGATTTTGTACGTTTGCCCACTGACAAAGAAATGATCAGTCTATAATTTTAATGGTAGGTTTATTTGAACAGTGAGAGACCGAATAACAACAAAACAATCCAGAAAAACGCATGTCAAAAATGTTATAAATTGATTTGCATTTTAATGAGGGAAATAAGTATTTGAAAAACATGACTTAGTACTTGGTGGCAAAACCCTTGTTGGCAATCACAGAGGTCAGACGTTTCTTGTAGTTGGCCACCAGGTTTGCACACATCTCAGGAGGGATTTTGTCCCACTCCTTTTTGCAGATCTTCTCCAAGTCATTAAGGTTTCGAGGCTGACGTTTGGCAACTCGAACCTTCAGTTCCCTCCACAGATTTTCTATGGGATTAAGGTCTGGAGACTGGCTAGGCCACTCCAGGACCTTAATGTGCTTCTTCTTGAGCCACTCCTTTGTTGCCTTGGACGTGTGTTTTGGGTCATTGTCATGCTGGAATACCCATCCACGACCCATTTTCAATGCCCTGGCTGAGGGAAGGAGGTTCTCACCCAAGATTTGACGGTACATGGCCACGTCCATCGTCCCTTTGATGCGGTGAAGTTGTCCTGTCCCCTTAGCAGAAAAACACCCCCAAAGCATAATGTTTCCACCTCCATGTTTGACGGTAGGGATGGTGTTCTTGGGGTCATAGGCAGCATTCCTCCTCCTCCAAACACGGCGAGTTGAGTTGATGCCAAAGAGCTCGATTTTGGTCTCATCTGACCACAACACTTTCACCCAGTTCTCCTCTGAATCATTCAGATGTTCATTGGCAAACTTCAGACGGGCATGTATATGTGCTTTCTTGAGCAGGGGGACCTTGCGGGCGCTGCAGGATTTCAGTCCTTCACGGCGTAGTGTGTTACCAATTGTTTTCTTGGTGACTATGGTCCCAGCTGCCTTGAGATCATTGACAAGATCCTCCCGTGTAGTTCTGGCCTGATTCCTCACCGTTCTCGTGATCATTGCAACTCCACGAGGTGAGATCTTGCATGGAGCCCCAAGCTGAGGGAGATTGACAGTTATTTTGTGTTTCTTCCATTTGCGAATAATCGCACCAACTGTTGTCACCTTCTCACCAAGCTGCTTGACGATGGTCTTATAGCCCATTCCAGCCTTGTGTAGGTCTACAATCTTGTCCCTGACATCCTTGGAGAGCTCTTTGGTCTTGGCCATGGTGGAGAGTTTGGAATCTGATTGATTGATTGCTTCTGTGGACAGGTCTTTTATACAGGTAACAAGCTGAGATTAGGAGCACTCCAAAGACACCTGGGAGCCAGAAATCTTTCTGATTGCGAGGGGGTCAAATACTTATTTCCCTTCATTAAAATGCAAATAAATTTATAACATTTTTGACATGCGTTTTTCTGGAGTTTTTTGTTGTTATTCTGTCTCTCACTGTTTAAATAAACCTACCATTAAACTTATAGACTGATCATTTCTTTGTCAGTGGGCAAACTTACTAAATCAGCAGGGGATCAAATACTTTTTTCCCTCACTGTATTTACTCCAATGACATGTATTCATCCTTTTGATTCGAATCACCTGGATACATGTAATCCAGTTCAGTCAAGACTACGAGCACTATTTAAATGTACAGTAGTAGTGTTAGGCCAGGATTCAATCAGATCAGCGTTAACCTGTGGTAACCGGCATTGTTTTTGTGTAGGCGATGTAGGAGCTGTCAAATCCACAAACAGCTCCTGGCGTTATACCTATCGCGGACATTGCTATTGGATGCACAGAGTCACATTAGTAGAAATCTCATGCAGCCGTGTTACAAGTTGAAACACTGAAATGTGTGATGTAATCTACTCCTCCATTAGGCTGATATAAATTGTTATTATTTAATTATATTCAATTTGAGTGTAATTCTTTTTATATAGCCTACACTTTCTCATTCTTAACTTCTAACGTGGGTGGGATAGGGTGTGGCTTCGTGACAATGAACACAAGAACAGCCGCTCACTAATTTGACAGCTCCAGCGCAGTTAAACCTGCGATTGTTGGTTACCGTGGGTTAACGCTGATCTAATTGAACCCTGGCCTTAGTCTGTGTATTAAACACAGTGTACTGCTGCTGCCCTCTAGTTTAGAAACTTAAAAACACATTTGCCCTCAATCTCTTCCCTTTCTATTTCTGTCTTGAACTATTGTTTGGTTTTCTTCTCATCCTATCCTGTCCCTGTAGGCTGTAAAGTAGAGTCTGTCTTTTTGAACGTGGAAGCTGTGAACACCCACAGGGACAGGCCAGAGGTAGGTACCCCAGACAAGCACCCTCACTGGACTTGTACTCTAAAACAGAGCGAGAAAGAGGTTCAGGTTCAATTGGACTAACCTTATGTGTCCTAGTGCTGACTGATCGCTCTATCTCTTTTCATTGTACAGAATGTAGACACTTCACGGATGCCGGAGGAAGCCCTGTTCACAGTCCCCGCCCACCAGTGATTAATGACAGCGCCCAAGACTCCAGAGTGACATCACTCACCATGGCCACTTCCTCTACTCAATCAGCAATCAATCCAAATTCCTCTTTTAATTTTTTCCTTGCAGTGGGATTGGAAAAGAGCACATCCGGATCTTTCATTGGACATATTCCTCTTTCAGGTTCCCCCCCCCAAAAAATGTAATCTTGGTTTGTTCACCTGATCTTTCTCTTTCCTTCTGAACAATGAAAGTCTAGACAACTGGAATCCAGTTCAATGGTGATTCGCCCCACTATCGGGGTATGTGTGAGTGAGTGTGTTTTGTATGTGTGTGAGTGTATATGATCACGGTAAGGACAATCTGGTGTGAAACTTATTTTAAATACAATACATATGGATTTTCAACTAATTGTAGAGTTTAGCTTTTCTGAAATCGTATCTGTCACTATGACTGCAATTACACAGGCAGCCCAATTCTGATATTTTTCTACTAATTGGTCTGTTGACCAATCAGAAACTCTTTTGCCAATAATTTGGCAAAAGATCAGAATTGGGCTGACTGTGTAAACACAGTCTAAGAACAATTTATGGTGACATTTTATTGTTAGTATTTTAGTGTTTGTCCACCCCATTTGTTGAATTTCCTATTAAACCAACTATTGCATTACACGTTGCAGAGGCTGTGATATGCAGACTCTAAGCAGGGACACAAATTGTAGCTAGTATTTCTAATATGTCTGGTATAAAATCAGGCTGTTCCTATAAAGGCGGTTTTGCACATCTATCATCTTCAATTAAGTTCACCTTCATCTAGTTAAAATCTAAAAAGATTTACACGTTTTTTTTCCCATGATCTGCTATATCTAGAATGTGTTTGGCTCTCTTGTTTAATGTCTACAAGTGAAGGATACTTTGATATCTAAAATGCTGCTGTAGTTCAGGAGCACAGGAATAGTTGTTGACATCTGTGATATCGTAACAAATCAATGGAAATTGAAATGACTTCTAATGCCTGTGTATACGCGTATAAGTAATGATCACCATAATCAGTTGTCCGTAATGCTTTAAATTTCATTAAATCGCTCACTGGTTTTATATAGTTTTCAGCATGTTCACCATGTCTTGTTTGTTCATTTTAACTTGTCTGTCAATGTGTCAAGAATATGATTCTTTCAATGTAAATATCTACATCATCCAAATGTAATAAATATTTTGAGTTAAGTCTCTTGCTGTAGTCTTCTGCTCAAAAAGACTTATTGAAGTGTTTTGTGTAGTCTTCACATTTTGCTGCCTTAAAGAGCAACTGTCCCTAAAAAGCAACATCTTGTTTTGAAAACACCCTATGTGGCATTGATATGACTCAAACATTTAGTCTAGTGTCAAAATTGACTACAAATTGTAAATAGGATAATTTTGGTCATAAAGTCAGTCTTGTCTGAAACATGATAGAAAAAACTGTTTTCCATGGGTTGGGTTTATTTCAATCATGCCCACCGCTGGCAGCACCCAAGTAATCAATTCAGAGCGCAGCTGGACCTGACCTGATCTTATTGCCCATGATCAATTTGGTTTGACATTAGATTACCCTATGGGGCTAGTTAGGGACCATCAGTAAATTACACAATGTACATGGGACAATATTTTAAACGGTCAATAGCTCCAAACTTCAATGACCTCAAACCAACTATACATTTTAGAAATTCATATACAAATATTGAACGCATTTAATGAAACAACTAAACGATTTGCAACATTAAAATATTGTCCCATTTACATTGTGTAATTTATTGATGGTCCCTAACTAGCCCCAGAGATAGGCTATCCAATGTAAAACCATGGTCACACACCAGTTAGCTGAAGCTAATTGGTGAAAGAAGTTGGCTAGCACTAGCTAGCCTATGCGACTTCAAGACCTGGGCCCGGTTTCCTATAAGCATCTTAAGGCTAAGTTCATCGTTAGGCTAAGTTCTAATGATGAACTTAGCCTTAAGATGCTTTTGGGAAACCGGGCCCTGGTTAGACGGTTTCAAGTTATCTAGAAGGGTGAGTGACTGTAACTGTGTACTTTTTTGGCAGAGTGAATGTATGTGCAAATGCTTGCCATGTGCGAATACCCACATTAAACCACCCCTCCCCCAAGACAACTCTCGTTAGGCTTCAGTCATGGCGCTGCATTTCTTAATGACCAAGTAGAAAAATCAGTGCGTTTAGCCCCCTTTTTTTTCGACAAAACCTTTCCACATTTTGAAAGTGAATTTTTTTTGGATATTTTCATAATTAATATTTTTTATTTATTGTATTTATTGCGTATGTCTTCACACCGCAGAGTTAATAAATGGTGGAAGCACCTTTGGCAGCCATTACATTTTGAATAAGATTCTACCAACTTTGCACAACTCTTAGGGCAACATATATCCATTGTTTTTGTCTAAATTGCTCAAGCTCAGTACATTTGGTTGGGAATTATTGATGGACAGCAATATTCAAACCTTGGGTTGGATTCCATCTATAGCGCCGAAGATTTGCATTGTAGTGCGGTTTAAATGTAAAGGTCATTTTCGATTGAGCCGACATATGCAGCGTTTACCCTGAATGCAGTTGGGCTGTCCCCGACAAAAATAAATGTTATTTCGACCAATCGATTGGTCAAAATGTTTAAATGTATTTTTCCATATATAAACAGACACACCCTATGTGTTTGAATACAATCAACTTCATATGCACTGAGCTTGTCTGATGCTTTAAGCACACTGTTTGATTAAATAAATAAGACACAAATGACTCAAGAAATAGCCCAATTGTCACACTGTGTTCAAAAAGTGTAAGCATGCATGTGACCAATAGGGCCTGACATATAGCCTAACATAATCACATCAATAAATTGGTTATAACTAACTCTGAACACAGTAATGTCGACAGCAAAATGGATGCGGAAGACATGAAAAATTTACTTGAAACGGGCAAATGTTTACTGGTTTCTCAGGAGGGAAAGGGAAAGACATTTGACTTAGTTGTGGAAGCTACTGGAGATGAATAAAAAGGAGGGTATAGGAGCAAGTGTTGTCTGAGTATTATGTGTGCCAAACAGTTTCTGATAGATTGCAATATTATACTTTTTTCTTACCATTTGGAACAGTGTAAACAACACTAAATAAATAAGTGGACCATAGTCTGTTCTAACGGGGAAAATATAGAAAGCCTTTATTACAGCAGACTAAAAACAGTTGCCTGCATTCATGAATTGCGATTTATTTCATGTTTAGACTAATTATTCAAAGCTCCCTTTTATTTAATTGTAAAACTAAAATGCTTAATTGCATTTCAAAGCATGAATCAGACAGGTGTCTTGTGCGCCATACATTTTATTTTTTTATTGTGACTGCTCGACTAAAGAAATCTCGGTTGACCAACAGCCTATCGACCAAACAATCGACCAGTCCACTAAATGAGGTCAGCCCTAGAATGCAGTCTCCACGAACTCAAAAACATTGTCTTTAAGGGCTGTATTCAATCAGTAACCGAATATCAGCGTTATAGCCTGATTCGAATTTAAAGACAATGTTTCCGGACTCGAGGAGACTGCATTCACAGTAAATGATGCATATGTGAGCTCAATTGAAAATGACCTTTAAATTTCACTTGCGCTACAAAGCAGACCTTCGGCGCTACAGATTGAACCCAGCCCTAAATTCCAATCAGGCTATAATGCTGATCTTCGAGCAATTTTAAATCAGGACTGGACCACTCAACAACACCGCTTGGAAAGACATTCAGGTGTCTTTGGCATTATAATTTGTGCAATTGTGCCGCTGAAAAATGTAACTATCCCGGGGTTAGGTTTTCAGAATACTACAGCAGGTTTTCCTCTAACCTTTTACCTGGGTGTTGCTCCTTTCATATTTATTTGGATCCTAACAAACATCCCAGTCACTGCCGGTGACAAGCATACCCATAGCATGACGCTGCCACCAGCAGTCGGTCCAGAAAGCAAATGGTCACACTTTATTTGGATAGTCTGGATTTCCTATCTGTCTTACTATCAACAAACTATCTGTTGATAAGCAACTGCTTGCCAAGGTTACCTTTAGAATTAGGGTTATAGCTAGGGTTAATAGATAGTCTATCCAAATAAAATGTTACCTTAATTTCCAATTATATACACTGCTAATTTAGTAGCGACTTTGAGTCATGCGTGCATACATTTTACAGTGACCCTGGGAATCGAACCCACTATCCTGGCGTTGCAAATGCCATGGTCTACCAACTGAGCCATACAGGATTATAAAAGAACGATATGAATTCGAACCGATGCCTACTAGATAGTTGAGCATATTTATTTATGCTAATCATGATGTAGTAGCTAACAAGGTGGCATTCCCAATTTCTCATGCATCATTTCCCATAGACTTATACCATGTTTGATCATACAGTTGTGATATATCTACTATGGCATGTTATGCAGAAACAAACATGTCATCTGACAGGTGACTGGTCCCAACAAATGTACCCACATTTCTATAGTATGTAAATAGTTGCAATGTCAAATATTTCTTCATAAAGACAAAGACCAGATCCAAGCAATACACACGGTGCAATATATTAGTATGGTAAAATAACACACCAAAATACAAACAAACGATAAAGGGATTTATTCATCATCACCGCCAGCACTATCATCATCACAATCATTTCCATCAATGATAGGGTCTGCTCTGTGTGTATTAAGACAACATATTCACCAATACATTTTTCCTCAGGGTTGAAGGTGTGTCGTAACAAAAACTTAGCAAAACATTCTGTGAATATAATATTTATATAAAAAAACAAATAGTTTCAATTATCAGAAATCTCCATGCATTTCCCTGTGCTCATTAATATTGATTAGGGTATTATTTTAAGGACTCGCCCTGATTTAATGCTTTCTTCTAAAAGGCAGAAATTAAACGAGGCTGTGAATATTCATTATGTACAAACATCAATATTTCTGAGCACAGGTATACCTCAATGATGTAGGGCAACACCCCATTGGTCTGATGCATCTTTTTTCCATTGTGAATGACTGGTCACAATTTTTGCCCCTCTCTCCGTCCTGTGATGCGCACCCTCAGAGAAACCATGGTGACGGTCGTGATCAGCGTAAGGAATGTTTGGGAATTTTCTTAGAACTGCGTAAGTCAAAAACATGGATGTCAGATAAAACTGCAACTTCTAGGTGAAAAGACTGACAGATATGGAGACAGACTCACATTTTTTAGGAACTCCTCTGCGACGATACGGGCCCTGGCGTTGACAGACAACTTCATCTCGCTGATCTCCTTGTCGATCTCCTCCATGAAGTGGATGACGAAGTCCACCAGCTTGTGCTTGTACATCTGCTCCGTATGGAAGTTGGTGATGAGGAAACTGATGTCATAACCCTGCGGACGAATGAGGGAGAGATAAAGGAGGGGGGAATGAGCGGACCATTATGCTCTTTGTAATCCCAATTCTTACAGAATATTTTGTCTGAGTGAAAATATGACCACCTCTAAGAGGAGAACAGACTTCAGGTAATTATCTTAATGTGAAAAGTTTGAGATCTTCCAACTAAAAAATATATAATGTTGGTTGTACCACCAGTCCTCTCCTCTTACCTCCACTGGTTTCCTCCTCAGGATGAAAAAGTTCTCAGCTCTCATCATCATGAAGCGCATGAATTTATGGCACAGGATCTTCTCAATCTCATCCGCCTGCAGGGACACACCAATCACACAGCAGTCAGACTCAGCACCCACCAATCACAGGACAGCAGCTCTGATAGTAACCAATCATCACCAGGTCGTAAAAAAACGAATCACAGTAGTACATTTCATGTCTATGACAAACCAACACACAATCAGCCTCACAGAACAGAGAAAAAAGGGAACCGCTGCGCTTCCATCTATGCACTTCTGTTTGGGTTACGACAATGACAAAAAGATAGGTGTTCCCAAAGTATTATTATAAACTGGGTGGTTCGAGCCCTGAATGCTGATTGGCTGACAGCCGTGGTATATCAGACCGTATACCACAGGTATGACAAAACATGTATTTTTACTGCTAATTACGTTGGTAACCCATTTATAATAGCAATAAGGCACGTCAGGGGTTTGTGGTATACGGCCAATATACCACGGCTAAGGGCTGTATCCAGGCACTCTGCGTTGCGTCGTGCATAAGAACAGTCCTTAGCCGTGGAATATTGGCCATATACCACACCTAGTGCCTTATTGCTTAATTATAAACCGGGTAGTTTGGCTCCTGGATGCTTATTGGTTGAAAGCTGTGGTATATCAGACAATATACCACAGGTATGACACAAAACATATTGCTTACTGTTCTAATTATGTTGGTAACCCTTGTATAATAGCAATAAGGCACCTCGAGGGTTTGTGGTATATGGCCAACGTACCACTGCTAAGGGCTGTATCCATGCCCTTAGCCGTGGTATATTGGCCATATACACCCCACCACCTCTGGCCTTATTGCTTAAATAAAGCATGAATGTCACCAAAATCAAGCCTGTCAACTGCACCAGTAAAGGACAGGTTATAGACTATACACATTGGAATAAATAATATCCCTGACCTGCTTGACAGCGATGCTGACTCGGACTGAGTTGATGGAGCCCTCGATAAGAACCTTCTCCTTGTCATTACGACTGATGATGACTGGCTGCAGCAGCAACTCTTTACTGCTCCTGAGGGGGATAGCATACACATGCAAGGTCAAACACACTCTCACGCACATACACACAAACAAAGACAGAGACACTCACCGGACCTCCACCTCTGGCTTGTTGTGGCGCTCCACAACCTGAGAGGAGAAGTTCTCCAGACAGAGGGCGGCCTGCAGCGTGGCACGCACAGCATTGAGGTACGGGCGCAGAGTCGCTGTCTGAGGGAGAGAAGAAAGGGATAGGAGAAAGAAACGTTAGAAGATGAGAAAGAGGGAAGCCTCCGTCTCTCTTTCCCATGCCCACCAAATACTGCCTCGCGCCACCCTACTATCCTCAAACTATTAGCTAAACGGCCCTTACCCTTATTCCCACACCACCACCCCTCCTTACGAACTGAAGGCAAAAGTACTGTCAAGCATGCAGGCCTAGACTTGCAGCTAGAATTCTTGGCATAATGTTTCTTCCATAGCAATGGCTCATGGCTGAGGCTGCAGTGCAGATAATAATAATAAGTCAGATTTGACACTGTGGTTTCTAACAGCTCAACACTGATTTCACCATCACAGAAACTCACCAACACAGTCAGTAAAAGTTCAAATAGGCCTAACCTTGTGCAAAAAAATTAAAAGAATTGTTGACTGCTTAAGTTGATACACCCTGAGTGACTCAAATGTAAAAAGAGGAAATATATTGACCGCATGAGTACATACTGAAACCCCTAGAATATAGCCTAGGCCTAGTCACACTGAAGCCTTTCATGGCCATACATGGGTCTGAACAATTGCACCATTAAATTCACAGTTCACCATACCAATGTACTGTACACCACCACTGTTTCACACTGAATAATCACTATAATAGATAAGGACAGTGTGTACACATTGGCTCAGGCCTTACAGCAGTAGAATGAATTTTTTGGGGGAATATGCATACTTCCTTTACGAAACACTATTTTTCCACCACTATGCTGAAGTGGCTAACGCTTAGGAATGCTAGTCCTGGATGTTGCGTATCGCGGTCAGCCAAACAGGTTGCAGCAGTCTGTTTACCCCTAATTGAACGCAGGGCGCAACATCAAGAAGTAGCATTAGCCACTAGCATGGTGGTGAAAACATTGTGTTTCATAAAGAAAGTACGCATATTTTCCCCCACACCTTCTCGCCATTAATACATATAGTTAAGGAGGAAATTGATGTCTTTACAGCCTGAATGGAGAATGTTTTCGGTACGAACCGGTCCACGGGGGATACGAGTGTATTGCCAGCTGCATACAATGCGTTTGGACGGTAAGATGAAACCCTCAATACCAGATCAATATCGCCATCTGCCGGCCTTTGGGCTAGTTCAGACAGAGCGTTAGGGCTCTAACCAAAAGTCCCCCATACAGAAGATGCCTTCGTCCAATGACTCTTATGTATAATGTAATGAAACCTAGAGTCATGATCAGGGGCTAGTGCATAGTTAGCTGGGTCATTCCTACTATGCGCTGCCATTTGCACCTCAACTTTAGGAGAACACACACACACATACATATATCAGAAAAAGGACTGGTTTGCCTTTCAGAAAAACAAATTGGTCAAGCTCAGGCACTTACATTTTTGGGTTTATTTTCCAATTTGTTAGGTGCATAATCCTAACAGGGTAGAAATGTTGAGCCTAAATTAGCCATAGCTCTGTGATTGAGCAAGATTGAGCTAGCATAATGGTGAACACTTGAACAGGATTTTAACTTCTCTATCAAACATTTTAACATGTTCATTTTTCTATATAATTTAGCATAACAGGGTGGAAATGTATGAGTGGGACATACAGACTAACAACATGAACAAATAGACAACTGAGTGTTTATATTTATTTAGCTTTGCACCATTGTTTTCCCACCAAAGAAATCATGACACTTCCTGAATGTGGTGTCATTGTAGGAAGGGGTTGTTTTCTTAAATGGAGAATTACAACAAACTAACAGGGTGGAACGTGATCAGGGACACACAGGAAAACCTAAATAAAATCATAAATACAATAATCATTTAAAAACTTTATTGATGAAACAGACTAACTAGAATATAAAAGAATGAAGAAAGATTTGAAACATCTTTTGCTTATATTTCTTGTGGAAGTTGATAAATAACACCTGGGGACATGGCAAAAACGCCTACATCCACTTACAAAAAGTGTTTAAAATGCATAAAATTCCCTTTCAAGATCCATATGTTGGTGTTTAAGGTAAAGGATATATTTAAAGCCTTTTGGAATCCACATTTTACAGTAAATAAGAACTGATATTTCCTGGGGACAGAAAAGGCACCGCATCATAGGAATGATCCAGCTAGCTGGTGAGGACAAATGACAGCAAATGTGACAGACAACATTTGCTGTCTTAAATACCTAGGCTGGCTGCCTGACTTGCAATATTTCCATGTTGCTAGCTAACTAGCTACCCTCTTCTACCAGCTAGTGTTCGGTATATTTTCAATGTGGCATGCGGATCTTTACTCATGGTATTCATTTTTTATTTACCTGCTTCATAGTGACATCAAAGAACCTGATGCACTATTACAGATAACTAACTTACTTAGCTAGTTACCCGAAAATGTATGTTTATATTTATGCATACATTTGAAAGGATACTTTACTTTACTTTACAGTATTTGGTACTAGCTTCCAAACTAGCAAACTTACCTTATAGCTACATCACTAGCTAAAAACAGATGATTTCACATTTTGGGTGGGGATGCTAACGTTAGCTAACTAGCTTGCTAGCTACCAAACCAAATCTAGCGATAAACATACGGATTAACGCAAGCCTCGCGTAAACCACGAATAATGTCATATTCAATATACTGCTCATCGTATGACTGATGTTGAAATGACGTCGAAATGTCTTTATTTTCATAGTAAACACCATAAATTCTCTTACCATTTCTCTGTATCCGCTGGGGGGAGAAGACGGAAGTAGTACACTTGCCATGGCTTTTCCGTGACCCTCTGCGCAAACCGGAACACACCATGTACAACACTTTATAGGGGAGCCTATATCGTTTGGACAAATATGTTTCTTTACAAGTAATGGATTGTATGTAGCAGACACGAACATTGAATACATTCATTTTCTTATTTAAAAATGTCATATTGTTAAATAGGTGGTTTTCATTCTTTGGTTACATAATTTCCCAATTTATAAGGATGAGAACATGTTGACGATATCCTTTACAGTTGCAAAATGTTTATATAAAAAGTACATTCTGACTTATTTTGGGTGTTCTCATTGTTCATATGAGAAACGTAATCAATCTAGAAATTGTTCAACTGAATGATAGTGATTTTGTCTCATCATTCTTATTAATGCAAAATGTGTGTGCCTGGTGTTTTCTTCCTTATAAGGTAAAGGGAGCTCTCCACTATTTTTCCAATAGGGGGGGAATTTACAAAGGTCTGTTTCCAGAGTCTCAGTGGGTCCTATGGTACATTTATCAGATTCTTTATTATTAACATTTTAGAATTTTCAAACTCAACAAAAAAGTTCAATTGTGATCCTAAAAGAGCTGCAGCATGAAACTTTTTGCTCCAGAGACAGATTCTGTCCCATAGAAAGTCCCCCCATTAGATATTTTCATTTGTTTCAGTGTGTGTAGGCCATATGTGTGTAAATTGACTAGACTACATATGATGATCTTGGAAAGGATTGTACCGTTAAACACTCTTAAATTGTAAAGATAATGTTTATTACATGGATATGCTGTTGTGTAATTCACTCCAACACCATCATTAAGTTTGCCGACGACGTGACGGTGGTAGGCTTGATCACCGACAACAATGAGACAGCATATAGGGAGGAGGTCAGAGACCTGGCAGTGTGGTGCCATGACAACAACCTCTCCCTCAACGTCAGCAAGACAAAGGAGCTGATCATGAACAACAGGAAACGGTGGGCCGAGCAGCCACCCATTCACATCGACGGGGCTGTAGTTGGGCGGGTCGAGAGCTTCAAGTTCCTCAGTGTCTACATCACTAAGGATCGATCATGGTCCACACACACCAACATAGTCGTGAAAAGGGCATGACAGGGCCTCTTCCCCCTCAGAAGGCTGAAAAGATTTGGCATGGGCCCTCAGATCCACAAAAAGTTCCACAGCTGCACCACTGAGATAATCTTGACTGGCTGCATCACCGCTTGGTATGGCAACTACTTGGCATCTAACCGCAAGGCACTATAGAGGGTAGTGAGTACAGCCCAGTACATCACTGGGGCCGAGCTCCCTGCCATCCAGGACCTCTATACCAGGCGGTGTCATAAGAAGGCCGTAGAAATTGTCAAAGACTCCAGCCACCCAAGTCTTAAACTGTTCTCTCTGCTACCGCACGGCAAGCAGTACAGATGCACCAAGTCTGGAACCAACAGGACCCTGAACAGCTTCTACCCCCAAGACACAAGACTGCTAAATAGTTAGTTAAATAGTTAATCAAATAGCTACCCGGACTATCTGCATTGACCCTTTTTGCACTCACTTTTTTGACTCATCACATACACTGCTGCTACTGTTTATTATCTGTCACTTTATTCATAGTTAAATGTACATATCTTCTTCAATTACCTCGTACCCCTACACATCGACTCGGTACTGGTACCACGTGTATATAAATCAAATCAAAATCAAATTTGATTTGTCCCATGCGCTGAATACAACAGGTGTAGACCTTACCGTGAAATGCTTAGTTACAAGCCCTTAACCAACAATGCAGTTCAAGAAATAGAGTTAAGAAAATTGTTACTAAATAAAGTAAAAAATAAAATAAAAAGTAACAATAACGAGGCTATATACAGGGGGTACCGGTACTGAGTCAATGTGCGGGGGTACAGGTTAGTCGAAGTAATTTGTACATGTAGGTAGGGGTAAAGTGACTATGCATAGATAATAAACAGCGAGTAGCAGCAGTGTAAATTGAGATGGTTTGGGATGAGTCGGACGGCAGAGTGAAGGAAAAGCAGCCAACAAGTGCTCAGCATATGTGGGAACTCCTTCAAGACTGTTGGAAAAGCATTCCAGGTGAAGCTGGTTGAGAGAATGCCAAGAGTGTGCAAAGCTGTCATCAAGGCAAAGGGTGGCTATTTGAAGAACCTCAAATATAAAATATATTTTGATTTGTTTAACACTTTTTTGGTTACTACATGATTCCATGTGTTACTTCATAGTTTTGATGTCTTCACTATTATTCTACAATGTAGAAAATTGTAAAAATAAAGAAAAACCCTTGAATGAGTAGGTGTCCAAACTTTTGACTGGTACTGAATATATATACTCCGACATTGCTCGTCCTAATATTTCTTAATTCCATACTTTTACTTTTAGATGTTTGTATTGTTAGATATTACTGCACTGTTGGAGCTAGGAACACAAGCATTTCGCTACACCCACAATGACATCTGCTAAATATGTGTATGTGTCCAATACAATTTGATTTACTGGTTTTATTGTAACGTGCGTTGTACACGTAACTACAGTCAGTGGTCATCTAGCTCATTTTCATTAGCACCTAGCTAACCACAGATCTTTGACCTAACCAAAACAGCTTGTTAGCAGCTAACAAACAGGGTTTACCTTATCACATGGATTACAGAGGTCGGGAAATGATCAAATGCATGCGTGCTTATCGTAGTAGTGGTTACAATCTGGTACATGGCATAGAACCATCCTTGTTTCTGATCGACAGAGAGACCTAAGGTTAGCTAGCTAGTTAGCTACAAAGGCCAGGGTAATTAAAAACAATTATAGTTATTTAAAAAAATACCAAGGTAGGTGATTGGAAAGATGCTAAACAATACACACGAGAAATACACAATATCAATGATTTAAACAAGAAACTACAAAAAGGCTAAAATATCTACTAGTTATTCTATTTGACTTTACTTGCTAGGTTCCTTGCTACTTGTTGCTGAAAGTTTGCATGGAGAAATGTTGAGGTTTTTCACACCCTGCAACATTGCCTTGAGTGATGACGTCAAAGCTTGCGACAGGATGTGTAGTTCTGTATGATAGCCACATTAGCGGCTAATTAGCGTTTCATTTTTTGTGGGAAATTACAGGAGGAAAAAAAGTTACCTTGTCCGAGAGAGATTTGCGCACCCACTTCAGGAGCAACATACTTGAAAACTGTAAATGATTTGACAAAATAACAGTGTAGAGTATAGCCAATCGAAATTGACCAATGCTTTTCCTATTAAATGAACTACCACTGCAATACAAAACGTTTAATTAATGTAAACTAACACAGCAAATGCCCTAGCGTGGCAGCCTATTAACAAATCAGACCGTATTGTGCCTCATCACGTGCGGCCCCGATACTATTAGATTAGAATTCTCAGACATTCCTTACAAACTTAGTTAATGCACACAATTAAGCGAAATACTTTAAGGAAAATATGTGATTCCAACTTCCAATCATACAACTTGTAGCATTGGGGAGTTGGCAAGAAAGTAGCCATTACATAAATTATTGTAGGCCTATAAAATATGGAGGGGATGACTGGGGATTTTAAAAGAGTACTTTTAAGAGTGTTTAAAACATGCGATCAGGTATTCAAGCCACGTTGCCTACACTGCTCCTCTTTGAATTATTTCTGTCTCCCCAATTCAACTTTATTTGAGTAGCAAAATGGAAATGGCTACATTTACTCTTCACAAGTGAATAAAATAAAACATGCTCCCTATGTAACATCATGATGACATATTCTTAATAAATCTATCCCATCAACCTTTCAACTCCAGTGTAGTGTATTCATGGATGCCAAGGGAAGACAGGCTTCCCAAAATATTTGACCCCAAAAACATTATAAAATAATTTATATTTTGTCTCTCTGTGGCTGAATCTCACCAGAAAAATCATCAGAGTGAGAGAAACAGCGCCCCTCTGTCTCAGTATGTGTAGCCCATGTATCTGATGCTGTCTGGACCAAAACAGTTTGACGTTGCGACTGTAGCATTTGATTGATGTCAGCAAGCAAAAATTATAAAATAATTTTAATGAATTTATTTGCAAATTATGGTGGAAAATAAGTATTTGGTCAATAACAAAAGTTTCTCAATACTTTGTTATATACCAGGGTTCTTCAATTCCGGTCCTGGAGGGCTTAAACACTTCTGTTTTTTATTTCTACCTGGTAGTTAATTGCACTCACCTGGTGTACCAGGTCTGAATTAGCCCCTGATTAGAAGGAGAGGATGAAAAACAGAGGTGTTTCTGCCCTCCAGGACCGGAATTGAAGAACCCTGTTATATACCCTTTGTTGGCAATGACACAGGTCAAACGTTTTCTGTAAGTCTTCACAAGATTTTCACACACTGTTGCTGGTATTTTGGCCCATTCCTCCATGCAGATCTCCTCTAGAGCAGTGATGTTTTGGGGCTGTCGCTGGGCAACACGGACTTTCAACTCCCTCCAAAGATTTTCTATGGGGTTGAGATCTGGAGACTGGCTAGGCCACTCCAGGACCTTGAAATGCTTCTTACGAAGCCACTCCTTCGTTGCCCGGGCGGTGTGTTTGGGATCATTGTCATGCTGAATGACCCGGCCACGTTTCATCTTCAATGACAGAGCCATAGACTGTTTTGCCAACATGAAAGAGAGGAGGATGGCATTGACGTTCAACTAGTCTACAAGTAGGGTGAGTCCAAATGTTTTACTTACGCACAGAATCAGTCCCATGGACAGCCACATGATATTTAGCAACATTGATTTGATGTTGAAGTTGAAATGGTGCTGAAATAGCAGAGGCAGTGCTCCTGTTGTCTTTGTGCTGACTTGCGTGGTTCTAAATCAGTAGTTGTTTAGTAAATTGTCTAAAACATTAACTTCCTTGACCATGTTGCAGGTCATAACTGTTTGTTACATGCAATATTTGCTTTGTAGACTTCACCGGACAGATGTTGCTCTCCGGTTTTGTGATGAAACAAATTTACATTTTAGTCATTTAGCAGACGCTCTTATCCAGAGCGACTTACAGTTAGTGAGTGCATACATTTTTCATATGTGTGTAGTTTAATTTATTCCACCACTGTGTGACTGTTGTCTTTTTGTTGTCACGGCCTTATTGTATATCACGCTGGCATATGAACTAATGGGTTATAGAGCAAACAATGCAATTATCACAACATGCAGTAGTTTGTAATAGGGATTTTTTTACTGGCTTGGCTTCCTCAGTGATTTTACTCACTCACCAGCATTTTAAAACACATGTCAATAAGACAATCAGAAACAATGTTTATATTGAATAATTTTTTATTAGCATTACTTTTGAAATCCCAATACTCAACAACTGAATTGGCATAGCACTGATTATTTCATTAAGAGGAGTAATACCAGGGCAAATCCTTGGACTGTTTCTTTGTGATTGATAGAAATAACATCTAATTGTTTCATCTCTCATCTTTTTCCGACTGTTCCTGTTATATCCACACGCAATAGTAGTACACAATCTGTTAAAAAGTAATATTAAGCACTTATTAACAAACTCTTGCCAACCTGAGCTACCAGCAGAGAGAGAGATACAGTAGAGACAATACAGACATAACAGTTGACAGATGTAAATAGGGACAGAGCTGTAATTCTAGTGTTGAAACAAGTTGGCTGACAATGGAAATGACATATAGAACAGTAGTAGCAGTAGCTCTAGTATTATTAAGTAGCAAATAGTATTAATCTCTTAATAAGTACTTTCTCCATGTCTTTCATTGTATTTGTGTCGTCAGCTTTTCTCGTCATTGCCTACTTATGAATATTTCCCCTGCAACGTGAGGCTACTAAACCAACCAATGCGCACTCCCTACAAAAGGGCGTTGACAGCCTCCTGTGCATTTTTTTTATAGCATCAACAGGCTTCCCGGGGAAGGATGATGGGAGCAGTGTTGTTCGTGGCTTGTCGTCAGTCTTGCCCAAATAAGAGTTTATAACAAAAAAATATCAGTAAAACAACAAAGTGCAAAAACAAGTATAAGCTTCCGATTGGCTTAAGACTTAACATCGACAGCCAATACGAACAAAAAATTATAGTACAGCTGATTATTTGTCAACAGTAAGGTAGGCAATATAGAACTTCAAGTCAAAACAAAACATATTTCAGAAGAACAGAAAATACAGAGGATTAGATGTCTCAGGACAATGACACAAAGATATCATCATAATCTCATGTCAAAAAGCTTCAGCCATCACTTTAGAGTTCTCCACTGCACTCTTAGGACATGGCTCCATCTGCCCCCCAAATGTGAGACAGAGAGGGGACACAGTCAGACAGGGTGGGCCAGGTTGTGGGTTCACTCATGATATGGATTCAGGAACGGGCAGGCATAGTGGAGTCTACAGGGGTGTACCAATTCTTCTCTCACGTGATCTTTGGGCATTGGATTCATCAAGATGTGTATGTGTGGGAGTGAATGAATGTGTGTTGGAGGTGTATGTATACACCCATCATGTGCAGTACGTGTAAGTAACTGGAAACTCGGTGGGATTCTGGCTGGGAGGGGGATGTGATATGGGTGCATGCAGAAACCAGAGGGGCAGTCCTTTCCCTAGGGGGGAGCAGGTGTCGAGAGAGAAGAGGGTTGTTCCTGAAAGCCAGACAGAAGATAGTCCATGTTGCCCCTCAGCAGCTGCAGGCCTCTGCTGAAGGCTTTGCTCTGTCATTCCTGTCCAGCTTGATGGGTTCCGGGAATTCATTATACAGCTCCACCTCCGTCTCCTGATTAAAATAAAAGAGAGAGGGAGAAACTGGAATCTAAGTAGTCCTCTGAAAGAACAGTCAACAAAAACAAGGCCTGTCTCCCACTTTAATCTTCTCTTTGTGCCAGACTGTGTTCAAATGCCTTCGATTTCATTTTCCTGTATTTATCTGTATATGTATATATATATTTTTGCTGCTCTAGGGATATAATTATTGTTTGGATGACCTTATTTACTATTATGTATTGATATATATTTTTACTCTTTATGCGATGCACACTGAATTATCACAGTTAATTATTGTCATGTTTGTTTATGTGTCAACTAATCCCATAAGGGATGGGTTGTCAACTGACGATTTGACACAAAAATAAAATGTATTTCTTTCAACAAAACCCCCAATTCCCTCCTGTGAGCTGCCATGATGATCCTGGCCCCACCCACCTGTTTTAGGGCGTTGCGTGCGATGGTCTGGAAGGCCTGCTCTACGTTGATGGCCTCCTTGGCACTGGTCTCAAAGTAGGGGATGTTGTTCTTACTCTGACACCATGCCTGAGCCCGCTTGGTCGTCACCTGGGTGTGGATGGAAAGACATTCACAAACATCAGATGAGATCTATGAGACCCCAATATTGGTGAAACACATAAACTCAGCAAAAAAAGAAACGTCCCTTTTTCAGGACCCTGTCTTTCAAAGATAATTAGTAAAAATCCAAATAACTTCACAGATCTTCATTGTAAAGGGTTTAAACACTGTTTCCCATGCTTGTTCAATAAACCATAAACAATTAATGAACATGTACCTGTGGAATGGTCGTTAAGACACTAACAACTTACAGACGGTAGGCAATTAAGGTCACAGTTATGAAAACTTAGGACACTAAAGAGGCCTTTCTACTGACTCTGAAAAACACCAAGGGTCCCTGCTCATCTGCGTGAATGTGCCTTAGGCATGCTGCAAGGAGGCATGAGGACTGCAGATGTGGCCAGGGCAATAAATTGCAATGTCCGTACTATGAGACGCCTAAGACAGCGCTACAGGGAGACAGGACGGACAGCTGATCGTCCTCGCAGTGGCAGACCACGTGTAACAACACCTGCACAGGATCGGTACATCCAAACATCACACCTGCGGGACAGGTACAGGATGGCAACAACAACTGCCCGAGTTACACCAGGAATGCACAATCCCTCCATCAGTGCTCAGACTGTCCGCAATAGACAGAGAGGCTGGACTGAGGGCTTGTAGGCCTGTTGTAAAGCAGGTCCTCACCAGACATCATTGTTGCCTATGGGCACAAACCCACCGTCGCTGGACCAGACAGGACTGGCAAAAAGTGCTCTTCACTGACGAGTCGCGGTTTTGTCTCACCAGGGGTGATGGTCGGATTCGCGTTTATCGTTGAAGGAATGAGTGTTACACCGAGGCCTGTACTCTGGAGCGGGATCAATTTGGAGGTGGAGGGTCTGTCATGGTCTGGGGCGGTGTGTCACAGCATCATTGGACTGAGCTTGTTATCATTGCAGGCAATCTCAACACTGTGCGTTACAGGGAAGACATCCTCCTCCCTCATGTGTTACCCTTCCTGCAGGCTCATCCTGACATGACCCTCCAGCATGACAATGCCACCAGCCATACTGGTCGTTCTGTGCGTGATTTCCTGCAAGACAGGAATGTCAAGTGTTCTGCCATGGCCAGCGAAGACCCCGGATCTCAATCCCATTGAGCACGTCTGGGACCTGTTGGATCGGAGGGTGTGGGCTAGGGCCATTCCCCCCAGAAATGTCCGGGAACTTGCAGGTGTCTTGGTGGAAGAGTGGGGTAACATCTCACAGCAAGAACTGGCAAATCTGGTGCAGTCCATGAGGAGGAGATGCACTGCAGTACTTAATGCAGCTGGTGGCCACACCAGATACTGACTGTTACTTTTGATTTTGACCCCCCTTTATTCCGGGACACATTATTCAATTTCTGTTAGTCACATGTCTGTGGTACTTGTTCAGTTTATGTCTCAGTTGTTGAATCTTGTTATGTTCATACAAATATTTACACATGTTAAGTTTGCTGAAAATAAACGCAGTTGACAGTGAAAGGACGTTTCTTTTTTTGCTGAGTTTACATTAGAGCATACCCTGCTACTGAGAAACTTTGAATCATATGTATGGAAACTCCATTGGAGATGACATTAGCAACAGTAGCATTAGGGCCAGTGACTGTAGTACTAGAAGTGGTAACATTACCATCTTTAACCAAGTAGCATTAGGTCCAGTAACTAACATTAGATGTGGTAACGTCTATAGTCATCTGTCACCCACCTGTCTGTTCTCCAGGTCGATCTTGTTGCCTAGCACCACAAAGGGGAAGTTCTCGGGGTCTCTGGGGCTGGCCTGGATGAGGAACTCGTCCCTCCAGCTGTCTAGAGTTTTGAAGGTGTTGGGGGCAGTCACATCAAACACCAGCACACAGCAGTCTGCCCCGCGGTAGAACGCAACACCCAGAGACTGGAACCTCTCCTGCCCTGCCGTGTCCCAGATCTGACCATGAGGACAGGTCGAGGGAGCGACGGAGGGAAGAAAGGAGGGAGGGAAACCGTGACAGAAGACAAGAGGATTAACTATTGTTGGGCAACATGTTTTCTTCTGAATTAAGATCTTAAACTAATCACACTCACAGTGTCATGTAATCAGACTTGTCTGGTTGCCACTTGAAGTTTGCATCAGTGCTACCAAAAGAGTACTTTATAATTAACTGTTGATCAATTCATGCTGATCACCCATTGGTATGACAAGTTGTTTGCCTTTCCTTAGTATGTAGCCTAAAGGTTAAGAGTGTTGGGCCAGTAAACGAAAGGTCGCTGGTTCGAATCCCCGAGCTGACTATGTGAAAAATATGTCGATGTGCCATTGAGCAAGGCATTTAACCCTAATTGCTCCTGTAATTGCTCTGGATAATAGCGTCTGCTAAATGACTAAAATGTATGTAAATCATAGACCATACTTCAGACTTCCTTAAAATCTATTATCATATTGTCAATTCAGCAGTGTACCTGTTTGGCACTACTGATGTAGCCACATCATATCACTTCCCCAGTCTTCAAAGGCTTTTCTCAGCCTGAAAATTGTGTGTATCTTTGTAATTACAGGGCTCATTTGTAAAGAGACCTTGGTCTCAACATTACTCCCTGTAAAAATAAAGGTGATGTATAAATAAAAAATGTGCTCCAATGATATACTGTTTTTTAGGATTCTCTGGTCTGATGAAACAAAGATTGAACTCTTTGGTCTGAATGACAAGCGTCATATCTGGAGGAAACCTGGCACCATCCCTACGGTGAAGCATGGTGGTGGCAGCATCATGTTTTTCAGTGGCAGGGACTGGGAGACTAGTCAGGATCGAGAGAAAGATGAACGGAGCAAAGTACAGAGAGAACCTTAATGAAAACCTGCTCCAGAGCACTCAGGACCTCAGACTGGGGCAAATGTTCACCTTCCAACAGGACAACAACCCTAAGCACACAGCCAAGACAACGCAGGAGTGGCTTCATTACAAGTCTCTGAATGTCTTTGAGTGGCCCAGCCAGAGCCCGGACTTGAACCTGAACGAACATCTCTGAAGAGACCTGAAAATAACTGTGCAGCGACGATCCCCATCCAACCTGACAGAGCTTGAGAGGATCTGCAGAGAAGAATGGGAGAAACTCCCCAAATACAGGTGGCCAAGCTTGTAGCATCATACCCAAGAAGACTTGAGACTATAATCGCTGCCAAAGGTGCTTCAACAAAGTACTGAGTAAAGGGTCTGAATACTTATGTAAATGTGATCATATATTATTATTTTTTTTATACGTGTAAACATTTCTAACAACCTGTTTTTGCTTTATCATTATGTGGTAGTGTGTAGATTGATGAGGGGGAAAGAAACAATTAATCAATTTTAGAATAAGACTTAACGTATCACAATATGTAAAAAGTCAAGGGGTCTGAATACTTTCCGAATGCAATGTATGTACAGCAATAGTTGAATAGGATGGCCTTGACTAGAATACAGTATATACATATGAAATGGGTAAAACACTTTGTAAACATTATTAAAGTGACCAGTGTTCCATGTCTATGTACATAGGGCAGCAGCCTCTATGGTGCAGGGATGAGTAACCGGGTGGTAGCCGGCTAGTGACAGCGACTAAGTTCAGGCCAGGGTACTGGGTGGAGGCCCGCTAGTGATGGCTATTTAACAGTCTGATGGCCTTGAGATAGAAGCTGTTTTTCAGTCCCTCGGTCCCAGCTTTGATGCACCTGTACTGACCTCGCATTCTGGATGATAGCGGGGCGAATAGGCCGTGGCTCGGGTGGCTGAGGTCCTTGATGATCTTCTTGGCCTTCCTGTGACACCGGGTGATTTAGTTGTCCTGAAGGGCAGGCAGTGTGCTCTCAGTGATGCGTTGGGCTGACCGTACCACCCTCTGTAGAGCCCTGCGGTTGCGGACGGTGAAGTTGCCGTACCAGGCGGTGATACAGCCTTACAGGATGCTCTTAATGGTGCATATGTAAAAGTTGGTGAGGGTGTTAGGGACCAAGCCACATTTATTCAGCCTCCTGAGGTTGAAGAGGAGCCTGAGGAACTTTAAGCTTTTCACCTTCTCCACTGCGGCCATGTCGATGTGGATGGGGGTGTGCTCCCTCTGCTGTCTCCTGAAGTCCGGTATCAGCTCCTTCGTTTTGTTGATGTTGAGAGAGAGGTTGTTTTCCTGGCACCACTTCGCCAGGGCCCTGACCTCCTCCCTGTAGGCTGTCTCGTCATTGTTGGTAAATCAGGCCTACCACTGTGGTATCGTCTGCAAACTTGATGATTGAGTTGGAGGCGTGCGTGGCCATGCAGTCATGGGTAAACCAGGAGTACAGGAGGGGGCTGAGCACGCACCCTTATGGGGTCCCAGTGTTCAGCGTAGTGGAGGTGTTGTTGCCTACCTTCACCACCTGGGGGCGGCCAGTCAGGAAGTCCAGGACCCAGTTACACAGGACTGGGTTCAGACCCAGGGCCCTCAACTTAATGATGAGCTTGGAGGGTACTACGGTGTTGAAGGCTGAGCTGTAGTTAATGAACAGCATTCTTACATATGTATTCCTCTTGTCCAGATGGGATAGGCCAGTGTGCAGTACGACGGCGATTGCATCATCCGTGGATATATTGGGGCGGTATGCAAATTGCAGTGGGTCTAGGGTATCGGGTAAGGTGGAGGTGATATGCTCCTTAACTAGCCTCTCAAAGCACTTCATGATGACAGTGCTTTGAAGTGAGTGCTAGCGGGCGATAGTCATTTAATTCAGTTACCTTCACTTTATTGGGTACAGGAACAATGGTGGACATCTTGAAGCAAGTGGGGACTGAGATAGGGAGAGATTGAATATGTCCGTAAACACTCCAGCCAGCTGGTCTGTGCATGCTCTGAGGACGCCTGGGCCGGCAGCCTTGCAAGGGTGAACACGCTTAAATGTCTTACTCACGTCGGCCACGGAGAACGAGAGCTCACAGTCCTTGGTAGCGGCCCATGTCGGCGGCACTGTGTTATCCTCAAAGCGGGCGAAGAAGGCTAGCTTGTCCGGGAGCATTATGTCGGTGTCCGCGACGTGGCTGGTTTTCCCTTTATAATCTGTGATTGTCTGGGGTCTCTGCCACATACAGTGGCTTGCGAAAGTATTCACCCCCCTTGGCATTTTTCCTATTTTGTTGCCTTACAACCTGGAATTAAAATTGATTTTTGGTTTGTATGTATTATGGTTTGATTTACACAACATGCCTACCACTTTGAAGATGCAAAATATTTTTTATTGTGAAACAAACAAGAAATAAGACAAAAAAACAGAACTTGAGCGTGCACAACTATTCACGCCCCCAAAAGTCAATACTTTGTAGAGCCACCTTTTGCAGCAATTACAGCTGCAAGTCTCTTGGGGTATGTCTCTATAAGCTTGGCATATCTAGCCACTGGGATTTTTGCCCATTCATCAAGGCAAAACTGCTCCAGCTCCTTCAAGTTGGATGGGTTCCGCTGGTGTACAGCAATCTTTAAGTCATACCACAGATTCTCAATTGGATTGAGGTCTGGGCTTTGACTAGGCCACCCAAGACATTTAAATGTTTCCCCTTAAACCACTCAAGTGTTGCTTTAGCATTATGCTTAGGGTCATTGTCCTGCTGGAAGGTGAACCTCTGTATTTAGCATTTCCCTGTATTTAGCGCCATCAATCATTCCTTCAATTCTGACCAGTTTCCCAGTCCCTGCCAATGAAAAACATCCCCACAGCATGATGCTGCCACCACCATGCTTCACTGTGGGGATGGTGTTCTCGGTGTGATGAGAGGTTTTGGGTTTACGCCAGACATAGCGTTTTCCTTGATTCCTCAATTTTAGTCTCATCTGACCAGAGTACCTTCTTTCATATGTTTGGGGAGTCTCCCATATGCCTTTTGGTGAACACCAAAAGTGTTCGCTTATTTTTTTCTTAAAGCAAAGGCTTTTTTCTGGCCACTCTTCCGTAAAGCCCAGCTCTGTGGAGTGTACAGCTTAAAGTGGTCCTATGGACAGACACTCCAATCTCCGCTGTGGAGCTTTGCAGCTCCTTCACGGTTATCTTTGGTCTCTTTGTTGCCTCTCTGATTAATACCCTCCTTGCCTGGTCCGTGAGTTTTGGTGGGTGGCCCTCTCTTGGCAGGTTTGTTGTGGTGCCGTATTATTTCAATTTTTTAATAATAATTTAATGGTGCTCCGTGAGATGTTCAAAGTTTCAGATATTTTTTTATAACCCAACCCTGATCTGTACTTCTCCACAACTTTGTCCCTGACCTGTTTGGAGAGCTCCTTAGTCTTCATGGTGCCGCTTGCTTGGTGGTGCCCCTTGCTTAGTGGTGTTGCAGACTCTGGGGCCTTTCAGAACAGGTGTATATATACTGAGATCATGTGACACTTAGATTGCACACAGGTGGACTTTATTTAACTAATTATGTGACTTCTGAAGGTAATTGGTTGCACCAGATCTTATTTAGGGGCTTCATAGCAAAGGGGGTGAATACATATGCACGCACCACTTTTCCGTTATTTATTGGTTAGAATTTTTTGAAACAAGTTATTTTTTAAATTTCACTTCACCAATTTGGACTATTTTGTGTATGTCCATTACATGAAATCCAAATAAAAATCAATTTAAATTACAGGTTGTAATGCAAGAAAATAGGAAAAACGCCAAGGGGGATGAATACTTTTGCAAGGCACTGTATGTCTCGTGTCTGAGCTGTTGAACTTATACTCCACTTTCTTTCTGTACTGACGTTTTGCCTGTTTGATTGCCTTACAGAGGGCATAACTGGACTGTTTGTATTCGATCATATTCCCAGTCACCTTGCCGTAGTTAAATGCGTTTGCGCTTTCAGTTATCGAGAATGCTGCCATCTATCCACGGTTTTTGGTTTGGATAGGTTTTAATCGTCACAATGGGTACAACATCCCCTTGGAAGGTACGAACAAAGGATCCAATTCAGGAAAGTCGAAATGCTGGTGAGTTACTGCCTCTCTGATATCCAAAAGTTATTTCCAGCTGTATGTAATAATGCAAAGAACGTTTTGGGCTAATAACGTGAGAAAGAACATAATTTTTTTTTAAAGTACTGCAAAGTTGCTTAGCAGCCTGAAACAAGGTGGCCATGTCTATCGGCACCATCTTTATTATTGGATATTGTTGCTGTGATGGTGTTGCTGTGGCCATGTTGCTGTACCTGCATTGTGACGAGCCGATCGTCCACCATCACCTCCTTGGTCAGGAAATCAGCTCCTATTGTGGCTTTGTACTGGTTACTGAACTTCCTATTCACATACTGGTTCATCAGGGAGGTCTTCCCAACACTGAGAAGGAGAGAGATATGAAGGGAGAGAAAGAGGTGGACAACAAACAGGGGAGAGAAAGGTGTTAAAGATAGATTAATAGCTGGTATTCGACATGACTGCATTATTCCATTCAGTCCTAATGGTGAAAGAGGAACCATGGCCGATGGCTCATGAGCCAAACTCAATGTATTTGTATTTATTACGGATCCACATTAGCTGCTGCCTTTTAAAAACATGACAATACATTCACAGATTTCACAACACACTGTGTGCCCTCAGGCCCCTACTACACCACTACCACATATCTACAGTACAAAAATCCATGTGTACGTGTGTGTATAGTGCGTATGTTATCGTGTGTATGCATGTGTCTGCACCTATGTTTGTGTTGCTTCACAGTCCCGCTGTTCCATAAGGTGTTTTTTAATCTGTTTTTTTTTTTTTAAATCTAATTTTACTACTTGCATCAGTTACCTGATGTGGAATAGAGTTCCATGTAGTCATGGCTCTATGTAGTACTGTGCGCCTCCCATAGTCTGTTCTGGACTTGGGGACTGTGAAGAGACCTCTGGTGGTATGTCTTGTGGGGCATGCATGGGTGACCGAGCTGTGCGCCAGTAGTTCAAACAGACAGCTTGGTTCATTCAACATGTCAATACCTCTCATAAATACAAGTAGTGATGAAGTCAATCTCTCCTCCACTTTGAGCCAGGAGAGATTAACATGAATATTATTAATATTAGCTCTCTGTGTACATCCAAGGGCCAGCCGTGCTGCCCTGTTTTGAGCCAATTGCAATTTTCCTAAGTCCTTTTCTGTGGCACCTGGCCACACGACTGAACAGTAGTCCAGGTTTGACAAAACTAGGGCCTGTAGGAGCTGCCTTGTTGATAGTGCTGTTAAGAAGGTAGAGCAGTGCTTTATTATGGACATACTTCACCCCATCTTAGCTACTGTTGTATCAATATGATTTGACCATGACAGTTTACAATCCAAGGTTACTCCAAGCAGTTTAGTCACCTCAACTTGCTCAATTTCCACATTATTTATTACAAGATTTAGTTGAGGTTTAGGGTTTAGTTAATGATTTGTCCCAAATACAATGCTTTTATAGTTTTAGAAATATTTAGGACTAACTTATTCCTTGCCACCCACTCTGAAACTAACTGCAACTCTTTGTTAAGTGTTGCAGTCATTTCAGTTGCTGTAGTTGCTGACATGTATAGTGTTGACTCATCCGCATACATAGACACTCTGGCTTTACTCAAAGCCAGTGGCATGTCATTAGTAAAGATTGAAAAAAGTAATGGGCCTAGACAGCTGCCCTGGGGAATTCCTGATTCTACCTGGATGATGTTGGAGAGGCTTCCATTAAAGAACACCCTCTGTGTTCTGTTAGACAGGTAACTCTGTATCCACAATATAGCAGGTGGAGTAAAGCCATAACACATACGTTTTTCCAGCAGCAGACTATGATCGATAATGTCAAAAGCCACACTGAAGTCTAACAAAACAGCCCCCACAATCTTTTTATTATCAATTTCTCTCAGTCAATCATCAGTCATTTGTGTTAGTGCTGTGCTTGTTGAATGTCCTTCTCTATAAGCATGCTGAAAGTTTGTTGTAAATTTGTTTACTGTAAAATAGCATTGTATCTGGTCAAACACAATTTTTTCCAATAGTTTACTAAGGGTTGGTAACAGGCTAATTGGTCAGCTAATTGAGCCAGTAAAGGGGGCTTTACTATTCTTAGGTAGCGGAAAGACTTTTGCTTCCCTCCAAGCCTGGGGGCACACACATTCTATTAGGCTTAAATTGAAAATATGGCAAATAGTAGTGGCAATATCGTCCGCTATTATCATCAGTAATTTTCCATCCAAGTTGTCAGACCCCGGTGGGTTGTCATTGTTGATAGACAACAATACATTTTTTCACCTCTTCCACACTCACTTTACGGAATTCAAAATTACAATGCTTGTCTTTCATAATTTGGTCAGATATACTTCGATGTGTAGTGTAAGCAATTGTTGCTGGCATGTCATGCCTAAGTTTGCTAATCTTGCCAATGAAAACATAATTAAAGTAGTTGGCAATATCAGTTGGTTTTGTGATGAATGAGCCATCTGATTCAATGAATGATGGAGCTGAGTTTGCCTTTTTTCCCCAAAATGTCATTTATGGTGCTCGAATGCTTTTTACTATCATTCTTTATGTCATTTATCTTTGTTTCATAGTGTAGTTTCTTCTTCTTTTTATTCAGTTTAGTCACATGATTTCTCAATTTGCAATATGTTTGCCAATCTGTTGTGCAGCCAGACTTATTTGCCATTCCCTTTGCCTCATCCCTCTCAACCATACAATTTTTCAATTCCTCATCAATCCACTGGGATTTAACAGTTTTTACAGTCATTTTCTTAATGGGTGCATGCTTATTAGTAACTGGAATAAACAATTTCATAAATGTGTCAAGTGCAGTGTCTGTTTGCTTCTCATTACACACCACGGACCAACATATATTCTTTACATCAACAATATAGGAATCACTACAAAACTAATTGTATGACTTATACACAATATTAGGCCCAGCCTTTGGAACTTTGGTTTTCCTAGATATGGCTACTATATTGTGATCACTACATCCAATGGATTTGGATGCTGCTTTCAAACAAATCTCTGCAGAATTAGTAAAGATATGATCAATACATGTTGATTATTTAATTCCTGTACTGTTTGTAACTACCCTGGTAGGTTGACTGATAACCTGAACCAGGTTGCAGGCACTGGTTACAGTTTGAAGCTTTCTCTTGAGTGGGCAGCCTGATGAAAGCCAGTCAATATTTAAAATCACCCAGAAAGTATACCTCTCTATTGATATCACATACAGTTGAAGTCGGAGATTTACATACACTTAGGTCATTAAAACTAGTTTTTCAACCACTCCACACATTTCTTGTTAACAAACTATAGTTTTGGCAAGTCGGTTAGGACATCTACTTTGTGCATGACACAAGTAATTTTTCCAACAATTGTTTACAGACAGATTATTTCACTTATAATTCACTGTATCACAATTCCAGTGGGTCAGAAGTTTACATACACCAAGTTGACTTGGAAAATTCCAGAAAATTATGTCATGGCTTTAGAAGCTTCTGATAGGCTAATTGACATCATTTGAGTCAATTGGAGGTGTACCTGTGGATGTATTTCAAGGCCTACCTTCAAACTCACTGCCTCTTTGCTTGACATCATGGGAAAATCAAAAGAAATCCAATTCTTTTTTGTAAATCAAATCAATTTTTATTTGCCACATGCGCCGAATACAACAAGTGTAGACATTACCGTGAACTGCTTACTTACAGCCCTTAACCAACAATGCATTTATTTTTTAATAAAAAAGTAAAATAAAAAAACAACAACAAAAACGTGTTGAGAAACAAAGAACAGAAGTAAAATAAAATAACAGTACCGGTGCAGAGTCAATTTGCGGGGGCACCGGCTAGTTGAGGTAGTTGAGGTAATATGTACATGTGGGTAGAGTTAAAGTGACTATGCATAAATAATTAACAGAGTAGCAGCAGCGTAAAAAGATGGGGTGGGGGTGGGGGGGCAGTGCAAATAGTCTGGGTAGCCATGATTAGCTGTTCAGGAGTCTTATAGCTTGGGGGTAGAAGCTGTTGAGAAGCCTTTTGGACCTAAACTTGGCGCTCCGGTACCGCTTGCCGTGCGGTAGCAGAGAGAACAGTCTATGGTGGCTGGAGTTTGACAATTTTGAGGGCCTTCCTCTGACACAGCCTGGTATAGAGGTCCTGGCCCCAGTGATGTACTGGGCCGTACGCACTACCCTCTGTAGTGCCTTGCGGTCGGAGGCCGAGCAGTTGCCATACCAGGCGGTGATGCAACCAGTCAGGATGCTCTCGATGGTGCAGCTGTATAACTTTTTGAGGATCTGAGGACTCATGCCAAATCTTTTCAGTCTCCTGAGGGGGAATAGGCTTTGTCGTGCCCTCTTCACGACTGTCTTGGTGTGTTTGGACCATGATAGTTTGTTGGTGATGTGGACACCAAGGAACCTGAAGCTCTCAACCTGTTCCACTACAGCCCCGTCAATGAGAACAGGGGCGTGCTCAGTCCTCTTTTTGTTCCTGTAGTCCACAATCATCTCATTTGTCTTGGTCACGTTGAGGGAGAGGTTGTTATCCTGGCACCACACGGCCAGGTCTCTGACCTCCTCCCTATAGGCTGTCTCATCGTTGTCAGTTATCAGGCCTACCACTGTTGTGTCGTCAGCAAACTTAATGATGGTGTTGGAGTCATGCCTGGCCATGCAGTCATGGGTGAACAGGGAGTACAGGAGGGGACTGAGCACGCACCCCTGAGTCTCCCGTGTTGAGGATCAGCGGGGCAGATGTGTTGTTACCTACCCTTACCACCTGGGTGTGGCCCGACAGGAAGTCCAGGATCCAGTTGCAAAGAGGGAGGTGTTTAGTCCCAGGATCCTTAGCTTAGTGATGAGTTTTGAGGGCACTATGGTGTTGAACGCTTAGCTGTAGTCAATGAATAGCATTCTCATGTAGGTGTTCCTCTTGTCCAGGTTGGAAAGGGCAGTGTGGAGTGCAATAGAGATTGCATCATCTGTGGATCTGTTGGGGCGGTATGCAATTTGGAGTGGGTCTAGGGTTTCTGGGATAATGGTGTTGATATGAGCCATGACCAGCCTTTCAAAGCACTTCATGGCTACAGATGTCAGTGCTACGGGTCGGTAGTCATTTAGGCAGGTTATCTTAGTGTCCTTGGGCACGGAGACTATGGTGGTCTTCTTGAAACATGTTGGTATTACAGACTCAGTCAGGGACATGTTGAAAATGTCAGTGAAGACACTTGCCAGTTGGTCAGCACATGCTCGGAGTACACATCCTGGTAATCCGTCTGGCCCTGCGGCCTTGTGAATGTTGACCTGCTTAAAAGTCTTACTCACATCGGCTACGGAGAGCGTGATCACATAGTCATCCGGAACAGCTGGTGCTCTCATGCATGCTTCAGTGTTGCTTGCCTCAAAGCGAGCATAGAAGTGGTTTAGCTCGTCTGGTAGGCTTGTGTCACTGGGCAGCTCGCGGCTGTGCTTCCCTTTGTAGACTGTAATAGTTTTCAAGCCCTGCCACATCCGACGAGCGTCAGAGCCGGTGTAGTACGATTCAATCTTAGTCCTGTATTGACTCTGCCTGCTTGATGGTTCGTCGGAGGGCATAGCGGGATTTCTTATAAGCGTCTGGGTTAGAGTCCCGCTCCTTGAAAGCGCCAGCTCTACCCTTTAGCTCAGTGCAGATGTTGCCTGTAATCCATGGTTTCTGGTTGGGGTATGTACGTACGGTCACTGTAGGGACGACGTCATCGATGCACTTATTGCCACAAGTCTGGTTCATCCTTGGGAGCAATTTTCAAACGCCTGAAGGTACCACGTTAATCTGTACAAACAATAGTATGCAAGTATAAACACCATGGGACCATGCAGCCGTCATACCGCTCAGGAAGGAGACGCGTTCTGTCTCCTAGAGATGAACGTACTTTGGTGCGAAAAGTGCAAATCAATCCATTCTGGAGGAAACGGGTACAAAAATATCTATATCCACAGTAAAACGAGTCCTATATCGACATAACCTGAAAGGCCGCTCAGCAAGGAAGAAGCCACTGCTCCAAAACCGCCATAAAAAAGCCAGACTATGGTTTGCAACTGCACATGGGGACAAAGATCGTACTTTTTGGAGAAATGTCCTCTGGTCTGATGAAAAAAAAATAGAACTGTTTGGCCATAATGACCATCGTTATGTTTGGAGGAAAAGGGGGGTGGCTTGCAAGCCAAATAACACCATCCCAACCGTGAAGCCCGGGGGTGGCAGCATCATGCTGTGGGGGTGCTTTGCTGCAGGAGGGACTGGTGCAAAATAGATGGCATCATGAGGAAGAAAAATGATGTGGATATATTGAAGCAACATCAAGACATCAGTCAGGAAGTTAAAGCTTGGTCGCAAATGGGTCTTCCAAATGGACAATGACCCCAAGCATACTTCCAAAGTTGGGGCAAAATGGCTTAAGGACTACAAAGTCAAGGTATTGGGAGTGGCCATCACAAAGCCCTGACCTCAATCCTATAGAAAATGTGTGAGCAGAACTGAAAAAGCGTGTGCGAGCAAGGAGACTTACAAACCTGACTCAGTTACACCAGCTCTGTCAGGAGGAATGGGCCAAAATTCAACCAACTTATTGTGTGAAGCTTGTGGAAGGCTACCCGAAATGTTTGACCCAAGTTAAAGGCAATGCTACCAAATACTAATTGAGTGTATGTAAACTTCTGACCCACTGGGAATGTGATTAAATAAATAAAAAGCTGAAATAAATCATTCTCTCTACTATTATTCTGACATTTCACATTCTTAAAATAAAGTGGTGATCCTAACTGACCTCAGACAGGGAATTTTTACTAGGATTAAATGTCAGGAATTGTGGATAAAACTGAGTTTAAATGTATTTGGCTAAGGTGTATGTAAGCTTCCGACTTCAACTGTACATTATCAAGCATTTCACACATTATCCAGATACTGACTGTTAGCACTTGGTGGTCTATAGCAGCTTCCCACCAGAATGGGCTTTAGGTGAGGCAGATGAACCTGTAGCCATATTACTTAAACAGTATTTAACATGAGATCCTCTCTAATCTTCACAGGAACGTGTTTCTGAAAATAAACAGCAACACCTCCACCATTGGCATTTCTATATTTTCTGTAAATGTTATAACCTTGTATTGCTACCACTGTATCATCAAATGTATTATCTAAGTGAGTTTCAGAGATAGTCAGAATATGAATGTAATCTGTTATTGATTATTGATTTCATGAACCTTGTTTCTTAAGCTACATATGTTAATGTGGGCTATTTTGAGCACTTTTCTTCTGCGATGCTTACTTGTTTTTATTGCTTTACTGGGAAGCTTAGCAGCAGTAGATGTGCTCATGTTCTTTATGTTAGTGCAGGGTGAGCTGCACACAGTGGACTTCCTCCTAGGGCACACAGGCTCAGTGCTAACAATATAAATCTGGTTCTTTGGCACATGATTGCTGCATACAATAGCTGTAGGATCAGCAGAGGCATTCAGGGCAGTTAGAGGGACATAAATTAGGTTACTTATATTGTGTCTACCGACGCCCCTTGTGTAATGTACATTTTCTGAAGCATTTTGACAACTCTGCGTCACAATGGTAGGGATTAGCTGAGCTGGGCTTGCTTTGCGGGAGGTCGCTGTCTTCGCCTTCCACGGCTCGTAACATGCGACCATCGTTGATTGCCTTTCTCCTCATGCTGTGCTCCTTTGACGGCGCTATCAGATGGGGGCGCTCCGGGCAACACCGGCCAGTTGGATAATAACAAACGACAAGGCGGAGATGCATCCAACAAGCGCGAACGCCGTCCAGCCACCGGCGTAGAAAATGTAAACATTCCACTCTGCGTTTTCCCCAGTTTCTTACGTAGGCTGGCCACCTCAAGCCTATAATCCTCGGCAAGTAAACAATTGCCGCATTGGAACTCCAAGTGATCTGGTTTGTCCCGAAGCGAAGCGTAATAGATACAGCTCCTACAGCGCTGGAACCGTTCATTTAGTTCTCCAGACAAAGAGGGCTCCATTGCAAAACTCATCTGGTACCAACTTTGTTAGCTTGATGGCTAGCAGCTTAGCCTCTCTGTCAAGCAGGCTTCAACCTGTCTCTTAAGCGGGATTCCGGGACAAGAAATAGCGGTCCTAGATGTTAAAAGCTAACCGCGTTGTGGAATCCAAGCAAAAACAAGTTCTGTATTCGTATTTATGAATAGCGTTTTTGTTTTAATCAAAAATAACAAACAGAGTGTTTTCCAGCATACAATGTTCAGCTGCGAACTCTGATTATGTATGAGAGATCAGATACCATTAAAACCCCATCAGAGGTGCTCTGATGCAATTCTGTGGACACTCACGCTCTCTAGTTCTCCTCTGCAGTGCTGAGCATGCAGTGACACAATGAGAATAGAGCAGCATCAGATTACACAGTGTGAGAGGGGGGTGGAGGGAAAGTGAAATAGAAAGTACACTGTCATAAATCAAATGGAGACATACAGGTAACTGCCAAAATAAAGGAAACAGCAAAATAAAGGGTCTTAATAGGGCGTTGGGCCACCATGAGGCACCAGAAAAGCTTCAACGCACCTTGGCATATATTCTACAAGTGTCTGGAACTCAATTGGAGGGATGCGACACCATTCTTCCACAAGAAATTCCATAATTTGGTGTTTTGTTGATGGTGGTGGAAAATGCGGTCTCAGGCGCCGCTCCAGAATGTCCCATAAGTGTTCAATTGGGTTGGGATCTGGTGACTGAGACAGACACACACACACACACCCTTTAAACCCCCTATGCTCCTTTGAGACCCCGCTTTCAAAGTCACTGAGATCTCTTCTTCTAGCCATGGTAGCCAAAATAATGGGCAACTGGGCATTTGTATACATGACCAGTATACATAAGCATGACGGGATGTTTTAATTGCTTAATTAACTCAGGAACCACACCTGTGTGGAAGCATCTGCTTTCAATATACTTTGTACCCCTCATTTACTCGAGTGTTTCCTTTATTTAAGCAGTTACCTGTAAATGTGTGGGACAACCAACCAACAGCAGTCTGGTTGTACAGGAAGACTGTGGTAGACTGTAGTTTCTAATGAATCTGGAATACCCAAACAGCAGTCTCTGATCAAAGTGGAAGACGAAACACTGTGGTCAAACAGGAAGAGAACACAAATATTCGGTGACTTACCCAGAATCCCCAAGGATGATGACTTTCAGGAGCACTTTCTTCCTGGATGTCATTCTGTCGTGTCTGAGGAGAGACCACACACACAAAATCAGGGTTGCGTCCCAATAATCTCTCCTTCCTCCTGAAGTGTGCACTCGTTCACTACTCCCTACACATTTAAAAGCATTGTATTGGTGTAGGCCAAGAGGGAGTTTCCATTTACCATTAATTTCCTTTCAAATCCATACTTTGGAAGAAAGGAGATTATTTGGATGCAACCAAGGATTTGGACTATGCACGCACGCACACGAGACGATTTAATATGGCACGCCATGATGTCTTAGTAAAAAAAAACAATGCATTTTTTGTAGATTTCTTTCCTCCAAATGACTAAAACCAAATCGAAACTGTGTAGACATTATAATGTATCTTCCCTGACAGTCTCTTCAATGTGTCCAACTCGCTAACAATCATCAAAACGAAAGCTAGACAGTAAGGAATCATCCGAAATTCCAAAAACGATGGATAGAGGACCATTATTTGCACATTTTGATGGCGAGGAAATATAACACATTTTCAGTGTGGCCCTACTGGGGTCCAGACCATGGTGAAGACCGAACAGACCCCCAGGGCAAAATTAATTTGACACCCCTGCACTACCTAAACACAAAAATTTGCACACACCTGGAAAAAAATAGTTATTGCAAGCATATTGACCTGATTTCTCTAGACATTTTATATTTTTCAAATAGTTTCAAACTGATCGCTGGGGTTGAAATCCATAGCTCTGCACAATGAGTGTCAGAAAAATGCTATAATGTGTGTGATTTAGCACTGTGTGTAGAGCCAGTGCTATTCAAATAAAAAATCAAATCAAATGTTATTTGTCACATACATGTGTTTAGCAGATGTTATTGCGGGTGTAGCGAAATGCTTGTGCTTCTAGCTCCGACAGTGCAGTATTATCTAACAAGTAATATCTAACAATTTCACAAAATATACCCAATACACACAAATCTAAGTAAGGAATGGAATTAAGAATATATACATATGGACGAGCAATGACAGTGGCATGGACTAAGATACACTGGGCCAATCAGACTTGAACTCCATTCATTCCAGTCATGTGTTCCCTAATCTCTCTCACACACACACAAAGTGAGTCTGAGCACTAGATCATGTTTCCCGCCAGAGGCGAGAGAACGACCCAACCATAAAACTCTACTCTTTCCCAATCACTTCTAGGGTGGCCGTTCCCAAACTGCAGTTTTAATAAGTGATTATGCTTCAATACTACTGGCAGACATTCTAACTTTGAGGGCACATTCACTCAATGGAGCAATCTAGGTGAGATCTCTCACAAAGGCACACACACCTGGTGCAGTGTCATGGGAAAGAACCCATCCCAATCCTATCAGGCACTGCCTGAGATAAGGGATAATAGAAAAGCCCCCCAATGTTATACTGAAACAATGATGAGTGAGACCCATTCAAATCCATCTTGTGTTTATCATGGGAAACAACAATGTAACAGCCAGGCCAACAGTCAGATTAATGAGTACAACAGCCTTTGTCCGGCCTATTACCATGGAGATATACAGTGGGGAGAACAAGTATTTGATACACTGCCGATTTTGCAGGTTTTCCTACTTACAAAGCATGTAGAGGTCTGTAATTTTTATCATAGGTACACTTCAACTGTGAGAGACGGAATCTAAAACAAAAACCCAGAAAATCACATTGTATGATTTTTAAGTAATTCATTTGCATTTTATTGCATGTAAGAATTCCGGCTCTCACAGACCTGTTTAGTGGAGTGGAGTTTAGACCAAAAAGCTCTATTTTTGTCTCATCAGACCACATGACCTTCTCCCATTCCTCCTCTGGATCATCAAGATGGTCATTGGCAAACTTCAGACGGGCCTGGACATGCGCTGGCTTGAGCAGGGGGACAGGTGTCTTTTATACAGGTAACGAGTTCAAACAGGTGCAGTTAATACAGGTAATGAGTGGAGAACAGGAGGGCTTCTTAAAGAAAAACTAAACAGGTCTGTGAGACGCGGAATTCTTACTGGTTGGTAGGTGATCAAATACTTATGTCATGCAATAAAATGCAAATGAATTACTTAAAAATCATACAATGTGATTTTCTAGATTTTTGTTTTAGATTCCGTCTCTCACAGTTGAAGTGTACCTATGATAAAAAGTACAGACCTCTACATGCTTTGTAAGTAGGAAAACCTGCAAAATCGGCAGTGTATCAAATACTTGTTCTCCCCACTGTATATATTCCCCTTTATTACTTTCCAACCCCACCACCCTTTACCTACTTGGAGTAAACTAGTGAACAACAATGCTTAGGCCTCTACTTCCAGTTTATACCTACTATCTACATTTTATGGACACAGTCAATTTTATAATAATTATATATATATATATATATATATATATATATATATATATATATATATATATATATATATATATATATTAGTATTTTTCTCCTGAACTTCCTCTACTCTCAACCTCTCCGATCATTTTCATGATGTCCATCCGGTTTGCTTCTATATGCCATATCTTTCTAACTGTGCTCTTTCACAAAAGCTCCCAACCCACAACCTATATACTTATTATGGACACAGTATGCTTACATTATTAGTTATCTTGTTATTATTTGTTGTTAGTTGTTATTAGTCCCATCCTTCAATTCCATTCAACACCTCCCATCTATCTTTTAACACCATCCATATAGGATTTCTATTTGCCATATATATTTCAACTGTACTGTGATGTCTTACAAAAGTTCTGAACCTTTCAATTCTCATTGTTTCTACAGATTGTGCATTGAAAATAAACATTTTTGCTAAAAGTATTATTATGTTATTGATCGATTGACTATGACTTTTCAGATCACCCAGTAATGCTATCTGCAAGGTTAGCTCCAGGTAAATATTGCAATCCTTTATCCATTCCTGGACCTGTGTCCAAAAACAAGCTACAAATGGACAGTACCAAAACAAATGATCTAATGATTCTGTCTCTTCGCAGCAAAATCTGCAGAGCTGGGAAGATTGTATCCCTCATATAAATAACATTCTATTGGTAGCAAGAATTTTATATAATAATTTAAATTGAAAGATTCTAAGTTTTGAATGCGGTGTCGTTTTGCGTATCAGTTTATAAACACTATGCCATGGGATCGGCACGTCAAAAATCTCTTCCCAATTATTTTGCAATCTATATGGGACGGCTGTCAATCCTTTGGTCCTTAAATGAAACTGATATACTTTTTTTTATTTATCACAGTTTTCCTTAACCAATTATGTTCTTTAATGCAAGGCCGACAGACAAGTTCCTTACTTTCTCCCCCTTCCACTTTCCTCTTCCATTTTTGCGGTAAGGCTGCAATTATTTGGTTGTAATTTTGGGTAGAGCAGACATTTGCATATGTTTTTGTTAGCTGCATGTGCGACATAACTCCACCAGTCCTACCGATAATATCATTTACGAAGATTATACCTTTTTTAAACATTTTGTCAAAAAAACAAGTTTTTGGTCAATTAGTGTATTTGAGTTTAACCACAATATTTGTTGCATTATTTGTTCTGTCTTTTCTGGAGGATTAAATTGAAATTGCAACCAACTTTCTATGGCTTGTTTTAGAAATAGTGATATTTGGGAGATGATCTCCTTTTCAAATAACTGAAAGTGAGTGGTTGTAATCTGAATAAAGGGAAAAAGGCCATTCTTGAACATTGGGTGAGACAATCTTACTAATTTGCTAGAGAACCAGTTCGGATTTAAGTATAACTATTGTATGACTGAAGCTTTTAGTGATAGGTCTAATGCTTTAATATTTAATCATTTCTGTCCTCCGAATTCATATTCATTATATAAATAGGCCCGTTTAATTTTGTCTGGCTTGCCGTTCCAAATAAAATGGAATATTTCTTTCTCATATAATTTTTAAAAAACTGTTCGCTAGGCGTAGGCCAGACCATAAGCAAATAGGTACACTGGGATAATACTAAAGAGTTAATCAGGGTGATTTTTCCACAAAATGAAAGGTATTTACCTTTCCATGGTAGCAAGATCTTATCTATTTTTGCTAACTTTCTATTAAAATGTATTGAAGTGAGATCATTTATTTCGTTTGGGATATGTATTCCGAGTATATCCACATCACCATCAGACCATTTTATTGGTAAACTACATGGTAATGTAAAAATTGTATTTTTTAGTGATCCAATATGTAATATAGTACATTTGTCATAATTTGGTTGTAATCCAGAGAGGTTAGAAAATGTATCTAGATCCTCTATGAGGCTGTGGAGGGATTCTAGTTGTGTATTTAAAAGAAAACATGAATCATCAGCGTACAATGACACCTTTGTTTTTAAGCCCTGGATTTCTAATCCCCGGATATTATTGTTGGATCTGATTTTAATAGCTAACATCTCGATGGCCACAATAAATAGATATGCCGATAATGGACAACCTTGTTTCACTCCTCTTTACAGTTTAAAACTTTCGGAGAAATAGCCATTATTTACTATTTTACACCTAGGGTTACTATACATGATTTTGACCCATTTTATAAAGAGATTCTCCAAAATTGAAATGCTCCAGGCATTTATATATATATATACACCCCAGTCGTACTTTATCAAATGCCTTTTCGAAGTCTGCTATGAATAGCAGGCCTGGTTTCCCAGATTTTCAATAGTGTTCTATTGTTTCCAATACTTGCCTGATATTATCTCCAATGTATCTTCCATGTAAAAAACCTGTGATTAGAATGAATAATATCCGACAATACCTTTTTAATTCTATGCGCTATACATTTTGCTAGAATTGTTGCATCACAACACTGAAGTGTAAGGGGCCTCCAATTTTTTTAATGGACTGGATCTTTTATATTTTCCACTTGTATCCTGTTTCAGTAATAATGAGATCAGACCTTCTTCTTGAGTGTCAGATAATCTACCATTTACATAGGAGTGGTTAAAACATGCTAATAACGGTCCTCTTAGTATATCAAAAAAGGTTTGGTATACCTCGACTGGTATGCCAT